CATATTAGGTAATTCCGTAAATTTTATTTAAGGAAATAATGAAAAGCAATAATAATAGTTTATGTTTAGTTTAATAAAAAGTATATTATATGTTTATATGGACCAACATTTTTCTCTAGTAAATTTGAGAAGCATTCTCATGATGACACGTGGCTACCAAAACATGTTGTAATGCTTCTCAAATAATATATAAGGGATGCTTATATCTAAAAGATGAAATCATGTTGTATGGAATTGAAGTTAGAAGTAATAAGAGAGATGTGTCAGAGTATTGAAAACATCTAAAATCATGGAATCAATCGACCATATAATAGTCAAACATGGAAACAGTTGTATTGTTTTGGTTCACAGCATTATTACTCCCTCCGTTTCATATTAAGTGTCGTTGTAGAAAATTTTTTGCGTTACAAAATAAGTGTCGTTTTCAGTTTTCAATGCAAAATTTATTAATTTTATTACTATGTAACTAATTTTTCTATTGGTTAAAATATGGTTAGGTGTATAGGTAACTGTGTTTTTATATAGGAAATATGTAAAATTAATTGTTTCCTTAATCCGTGTGCACAGCTGTAGAGTGACACTTATAATGAAACAGAGGGAGTATTACTTTATCGGTTGGAGAAAAAGAGACAAACCCATTTAAATTTGACACATCCTTTTAGTTATTTTGGTAATAATATTGTCGTAATCTAATGTTAATGCATAGGATGTGACAAACTGACATAACACATTTTAAAACAACACCACAGACTTTTGACTTTTCGTCTACAGTCATCTTTCACTCTTTCGGTAAATTGATTCCCTGACTACTTTCACACAAGTAGTTCTTTTATACCAACTAATAATACTATTAACATGTGCAGTTCTAGTTGTTAACAGTTCAGCCTAAGTGCCAAATAACATAAATAGTCAATTACTTCAGTGTTAAACGTTTACTCTTGGCCCAGTAAGGCATCAATTAGCATAAGACAAAGAGAGAGACTATCAGGTTTGTTCTCAAGTTGTGTTAGTAAGAGAAAGAGTGACACATGAGCCTATGAGGTTTTGTTCAAGGCAGAAAATAGTCATACACTGATTCGTTTATATACTTTTTTAATATTTTTTATAAATCAAAATATAATCCTTCCCAATTTGTTAAAGGTTTAGGACTTTCAAACAGATATGGGCTTTTAAGCAATATCTGGATCATACACATCATAATTCTTGATCGTATGGGCTTGTCCAAAGAAATTTCAAATATTATTTATTTAATTCATTAATGCTCTTCGTCTTTTATTTTGTCTACATTATTATATAGGGAAGAGACAGGTGCATTACTGATGTCTCATCAAATAAGTACACAACAAGTACATAACACCCGAATGTTAAAATATTTAATGAGGATAAGAATTTGTCATTAAACATTAATTAAAGCATCGCATATGCTCTCATTATCTCATCCGCTGCGTATTAATCAAAATATAAATATCGAATAATTCATTCATTCTAATAAAGTCTACTGTCTTGAAAACCTGAAAGTTTGACCGTTGAACACGAGAAGTAATGATTTTGCAGAGAAGAGCGTGAACAGAGGTTATAAAAAAGAAAGCATTAACAAAAAGTCGAAAGAAAATCAACGATCAGGATTAAAGGCATGAAGCGCGTTTAAGCAATATCTGCGTTAATCCTAACGGTTACGATGATGACACGTGGTCCCTTATTTTACGGGATGTCGTTACTTTTTTTCTCCACTTAAAGAAGATTAGAGAGGAAAGGAGGAGACGAAAAATGGGCCAAGCGGCGTCGTCTACGGCGGAATCTAACGGAAGAGAGGTAGATCTCCGCCTATGCTCCGTAACTCCGATGATCATCGTCGTCGGCGGTGGCGGCGGAGGCGGAGGAGGAGAATCGATGGATTCTGGAATTAGAGATCGCGATTTCACTTCAGATCTACCAGACGAGTGCTTAGCTCACGTGTTTCAGCACCTCGGAGCCGGAGATCGGAAACGATGCTCTCTCGTTTGCAAACGGTGGCTATTCGTCGACGGTCAGAACCGTCACCGGTTATCTCTCGACGCACGAGCCGAGATCTCATCGTTTCTAACGTCCATGTTAAACCGGTTCGATTCGGTTACGAAGCTCGCTCTCCGATGCGATCGGAAGTCGATTAGTTTAAGCGACGAGGCTCTTGTTGTTATCTCCGTTCGTTGCTTGAATCTGACACGTGTCAAGCTTCGTGGCTGCCGTGAGATAACGGATTTAGGGATGGTGGAGTTCGCTAAGAACTGTGGGAATCTAAAGAAGTTTTCCGTTGGATCTTGTAATTTCGGAGCGAGAGGTGTTAATGCGATGCTTGAGAATTGTAAGGCTCTTGAGGAGTTGTCTGTGAAGAGGCTCAGAGGGATACATGAGGCTGCGGAGATGATTCGTGGCTCTTCTTCGCTTAGGTCTATTTGCTTGAAGGAGCTTGTTAATGGACAGGTGTTTGAGCCTTTGGTTGCTAATACTAAGACGTTGAAGACGTTGAAGATTATTCGGTGTTTGGGTGATTGGGATAAGGTTTTGGAGATGATTGGGGAAGGGGAGAGCTCATTGAGTGAGATTCATCTCGAGAGGCTTCAAGTTAGTGACTTTGGGCTTTCCGCGGTTTCGAAATGCTCAAAGGTCGAGACTTTGCATATAGTGAAGACGCCGGAGTGTTCAAACTTTGGTTTGATTGATGTTGCGGAGAGGTGTAAGTTGCTGAGGAAGCTTCATATTGATGGATGGAGGACTAATAGGATTGGTGACGAAGGTCTAGTGGCTGTTGCTAGACATTGCTTGAACTTACAGGAGCTTGTGTTGATTGGGGTTAACGCAACGCATAAGAGTTTATCAGCGATTGCTTCGAACTGTGAGAAGCTCGAGAGGTTGGCGCTTTGCGGGAGTGGAACTATAGGGGATACGGAGATTGCTTGCATCGCTAAGAAATGTGGAGCGTTGAGGAAGTTTTGTATCAAAGGGTGTCCGGTTTCGGATTTGGGGATCGAGGCGCTTGCTGCTGGTTGTCCTAATTTGGTGAAGTTGAAGGTGAAGAAGTGTAAAGTGGTGACTGGAGAGATTGGAGTGTGGCTTCGTGAACAGAGGAGGACGCTTGTGGTGAGTATGGATGGTGATGAGACTGAAGCAACGGTAGCGGTTGATGGGGAGAGTGAAACAGCGTGGGAGGAGCCGAGGATGGGTCATGTTCGTGGTGGTGGTGGTGTGCCGGAGATTGTTGGTTCAGGTAGTAACGGTGGTGGTGGGAACAATGGAGGAAGTAGTAGATTAGCGACGATTAGGTCGAAGTTTGGGTTCTTTGCTGGAAGGAACTTAGTAAGTTGCAGATTCAGGAGATGGTCTCATAATCATAATGACAATGGTTCTAGTTCTACTTGATCAACTACTATAAAACGATAATTGTCAAAAAGAAAAAAAAAAGCTTTCTTCTGCCTTCTTGTTTGATTTATGTTTGTCTGTAATCCTATTTCATGATGTTTCCATGTGTGTGTGTAAGAAGAAGACTTTGTTAATTAGAAAAGTGATTCCAAGGAAGAATGTTTATTTGTTATTTCTCTGTTTGGAATGAATGATGTGATTAATTTGAGTTATGAGAAATATCTTTTAATAGCAGAAGGAATTTTTTTTTTTTTTTTTGATAAATTGGTAATTTCGGGTCCATATACGAAGTGGGATGATTGCTTCCTAGTAATTTAATAAGAAAAAAATATTATCATAATAGATAGATCATAGATGTATGATCCTTATGCAAGTTGACAAAAAAAGAAAAGATAATGATTACGGTATATACGAAGTCTTTTCGATAGTCCCTTGTCCCAACTAAAAAAAAAAAGAAAGTCTTCTCCAAGGTTGTAATGGATCTGTATCTCAAATCAGTTCTCAATCGTAATACTTCTTCATCTTACAACTGGAAACACCCTGTGTTTCTCAGCTTCCATGGGGTAGATGTACGCAAAGCCTTTCTAAGTCACATTCTCAAGGAGTTTAGGAGAAAAGGAATTGACCCATTCATTGATAGTGAGATCAAGAGAGGAGCAACCATCGGTTCTGAACTCAAACAAGCGATCAAAGGATCTAAGATTGCAATCGTCTTGCTCTCTAAGAACTACGCTTCTTCGTCGTGGTGTCTGGACGAGATGGTAGCGATCATGAGCTGCAGAGAAGAGTTGGGTCAAATGGTGATCACTATTTTCTATGAAGTAGATCCAAGTGACGTAAAAAAGCAGACCGGAGATTTTGGAAAGGTCTTCAGACAAACTTGTGCAGATAAAACAAATGATGTTGTTGGGAAATGGAGACAAGCTCTAGCCAAAGTGGCAACAATCGCTGGTTACGATTCAAGCAACTGGTAAGTCTTAAAGTTAATATAGATCATTCAAATAATAACTTGTATGTGAGTATACATATATACTTGGATGATATTTTAGGGACAATGAAGCGGCCATGATCGAGAAAATCACCAATGATATTTCGAAAATGTTGAATCATTTGACGCCATCACATGATTTCGACGGGCTAGTTGGTATGGGATCTCATATGGGAAAGATTGAACCATTGCTACGCCTAGATTTGGAGGAAGTTAGAATGATAGGGATTTGGGGTCCTCATGGGATTGGTAAGACCACAATAGCTAGAGTTCTGGTTAACCAAATTTCTCATCATTTCCAACTAAGCACAATTGTGCTGAATATCAAAGTAAGCTATCCAAGGCCTTGTCACGATGAGTACAGCGCGAGTGTGCACTTACAAAAACAATTGTTGTCCCAATTATTCAACCAGAGAGATATTGATATTCCTCATCTAGGAATTGTACGAGAAAGGTTGAACAACATGAAAGTGCTTGTTGTCCTTGATGACGTTGACCAGTCAGCACAACTTGATGCCATGGCAAATGAGACTCAGTGGTTTGGTCCTGGAAGCCGAATTGTCATCACAACAGAAGATTTAAGAGTTTTGTACGCGCATGGGATCAACCATATTTACAAGGTTGAGTTTCCATCATCTTATGAAGCTTTACAAATGTTTTGTATGTATGCGTTTGGTCAAAAGTTTCCAAAAGAAGGGTTTGAAAACCTTGCGCGAGAAGTCACATACCTTGTTGGTGAACTTCCTCTAGGGCTTAAGGTGATGGGCTCACATTTTAAAGGAATGTCGCAGCAAGAGTGGACAAAGGCGCTACCAAGGCTAAGGACTCGCCTTGATGGACAGATTGAGAGCACTTTAAAATTCAGCTATGATGCATTATGTGATGAAGATAAAGGTTTATTCCTTCACATTGCTTGCTTTTTTAACTTTGCAAGTGTTGAGAGGGTGGAAGAACATCTTTCAAAGAGTTTCTTGGACGTGGCCCAAGGATTACGTGTCTTAACTGAGAAATCTCTCATATCTATATACTACGGATACATAGAGATGGATAACTTGTTTGAACAGTTGGGTAGAGAAATTGTTCGTAGACAATCACTTCATGAGCCTGAGCGACGCCAGTTTCTGCATCATTCAAGCGATATTTGTGAAGTACTTAATGTTTATAGAAAAGTAAGTTTTGAAACCATTATTTCATTGCGTTCTCTAATTACAAATTGACTTTATATGATAACTAACCATCTCCAGTGCTTATATTTTTTGTATATGCATGTACAAATTTATTCCTACTTACATTTACTTGTTTCCTTCTCAGGATAGTAGAAGTGTTATAGGGATAGATTTCGTCTTGTCAGAGGTTGAAGGCATATTAAACATTAGCGAGAGAGCTTTTGAAGGAATGTCCAACCTCCAATTCGTAAGATTTCATGGTGAACTTGACCATCCCAATAAGTTGAAGTTACTACGAGGTCTGAACATTCAATTTCAAAATCTTAGAACATTCAGTTGGAAATATTGTCCTATGCCATATATGCCTTCTTTTATGAATTGGGAGTTCCTTGTCGAAATAGAAATGAGTTGGAGCAAGCTTGAGAAGCTATGGGAGGGAATTCAAGTAAGTAAATTGTATTATCTTTCCAAGCTCTTTTCTTAAAATCAATTCTATTTTGAATCTATAAAAGCAAGTGTGATATTGCCACTTTTGTTTTATTTGTTTTAACTACTATAAACTCAATCTATAAAAGCTTTTTCTCATTGTGCAGCCGCTTAGAAATCTCAAGTGGATGGATATGAGTTATTCTGAAAAGCTAAAGGAGCTTCCTGATTTCTCGACTGCCACTAATCTCAAGGACTTGAATCTTAGCCATTGTCAAAGCCTGAAGGAACTCCCTTCTTCGATAGGAAATGCCATTAATCTTAAAAAATTAAATCTCCATAATTGCTCTAGTCTGGTGAATCTACCTTCCTCCATCAGTAATGCCACTAATCTCCAGAAACTGGATCTTTCTGAATGCTCAAGTTTGGCTGAGATCCCTTCTTCTATCGGAAATGCAACTAGTCTCAAGAAATTAAATCTTAGTTGGTGCACAAGGCTAGTGGAGCTACCCTCCTCCATTGGTAATGCAACTAGCCTCGAGAAATTAGATCTTAGTATCTGCTTGAGGTTGGCACAGCTCCCTTCCTCTATTGGGAATGCAATCAATCTCCAGAGATTAAATCTTAGCTGCTGCTCAAATCTAGTGGAGCTTCCCTCTTCTATTGGGAATGCCATTAATCTCAAGAAGTTGGACATTAGCCATTGCGGAAAGTTGGCAACACTCCCACAGCTTCCGTATTCCTTATCATACCTAAATGCTGAAAATTGTGAGTCTCTACAGAGACTAGATTGCTCATTCCAGAATCCGGATATTCATATCAACTTTGTTAAGTGCTTCAAACTAAATCAAGAAGCGAGAGACCTCGTTACCAAGGCATCAGCTCGTGGAGTTGCTGTCTTACCGGGTGGATAAGTGCCTATGTAGTATATATACTACTGAAGGTTCCTTGACCAACACCAAGTTGAATGAGATGCCTTGTCCTACATTCTGAGATTTAAGGCTTGAATCTTGCTACGTTAATAAAGAGACCAAATAAAAGGAGGCTGATGATAGTGAAGCAACATTAGCTTACCACATAATGTACGTACAACCATAATCTTGTCCCATTTTTCTTTGCCAAATAATCTCTGCATCATGTTCTATGCAAACCAATGAACCACTTTATGTATTTTGCTCTTTTTACGGAGAATATGTACACCTTTGGATTTTGAGTTGTTGGGGTTGGTATCGAAACATTTTGAAACGTGATAATGTAAGCTTGCATATGTGTCTCTTTGCCGAAAGATGCTTTAGATGTCAGAATCGACGGTGTATTGGAAACTATTTTTTTTGTAAATCAACACAATGTTGTTCTGTAGATGGAGGAAGCTGTGACATGAAGAATGGTTCATAGCGTTGAAGTCAACATGTGGGACATTAACATGGGTGCATAATGTTTTCCCTAAAACAAGTTAAAACTAACAATTAATAACCGTATAAACGCCGAAAAACCATTAATGCTTAAAGAATAAAATAATTTTGAAACTTTTGAATAACTGAATTAAAATCAAACTGTAATGTAAACTATAAAATTTCTAATATTTAACTAAGAAAGTAAATGTTACAGTCAATTTTGCATGTTATGAATACTTAATTTGGATATTTATTTAGGATTGAGTTTGTGTTTAGTATAATTTGTTTTGAAAATTTTGAAAATACTTGGGTTTTTTATATAATTGTTTGGATTATATTTCTGTTTCGAAAAAATTCAAAACCCAAATACCGTAAACAATATTTTTTGAGTATTATTTTAGTTCATTTTGATTAAATCGGTTCGGATTTTCAGCTCGTTTTTTTATCCACCCTTAAACTAGGGTTGGGTATTCGAATTTTTGGGTCTGTTCAGCTTATCGACTTTTGGGTTAATCGGGTTGGGGTGTTTAGGAACCGTTTAGGAATCGGGAATTTTTTGGATCAGATCGGTTCGGGTAATGTCAGGTTCGGATTTCTACTTTTTTATAATACTTAAAATGGAACCAAATTAGAAATAGTTCTTGGTTCGAGTTTAAATCTCAGAAAGAAAAAAATAAAAACCGAGTTAAACCCGTAAATATTCGGATAATTCGGGTTTTGGATATTTTCTTATTTAAAAAATAAATTATATATATTAAAACTAAAAATAATTAAAATATTTTTATTATATTTAAAATATTCGGATACTGTTTGGTTTTCGGTTCGGTCCTGGTTCGATTTTGATTCTTCGGGTTTAGAAAAATATGAACTGTTTGGATTTTGTAATTTTCAGTCTGATTTTTATGTCTGTTTTTTTTCAATTCGGTTTTCGAATTTTGGATAAAATGGCCAGGACTACCCTAAACTAACAAAAAAGGATAGAAAAGTAATTGAAAGATGAAATTGCCAAAACCAACAAATTAATTTTAAAAAAGGGCACGAAACAGAGCAAAACCCTAATTCTCGTTTCTCTTTATCTTCTCCAACTCCCCACTCTCGCCGCCTCTGAAAACTCACAGAGCGACCGTCCGGTACTAATCGACGGTAAAACCTCCGTTCTACATTATCTACTTTTCCTTATGGACCATAAACTAGCCACTGCTGAGAAGAAGGTACGCCGCCGTCACTTTCTTTTAATCTCCTATCGATAAGATTTTTTGATTCTTATTGAAAAAAAACAATTGTTAATTTCGGTAGGTGCTAGTGGAGCTGGTGAAGTTAGTGCAGAAACAAGGTTTAGAAGGCGAAAACGGAGGGTGGAAAGACTTTCTAAACTCTTACGACAAGAAGTTCGGTGCCAGTCTCAGTGATCCTTCTCGACGCTCCAATGATGTTTTGGTCGCTTTTCTTTCTTCTTTAAAGAAAAAGGAAGATGCTCAGGTTAAAAACACACTTAACAATTGTTTTTTATTTATCTTGTTATGTTGGAATCAACTTGTTCTTATGGTTTTTGTTTGTCTCTCAGCTAGTGGCTAGGGTTCTTCAGGGCTATTGTAACCGTAATGTCATTGACAGAACCAAGCAAGAATCTCCTGATAAAGAGACTCCTGAGCAGGTTTTTTTGTTACATTTGTTTTTTTTTTTTCCTGTAAGTACAATGAAATCTTTATAAATTAATAATGTTGGGACTAAACCAAAATTTTACTTTTTAACAAATTTATAGATAATTAATTTATAGAGATATTAATTTATCTATATACTAATTGAACCAACAACTCAATTTGAGACTATAAAATTATATCGATTTATTGATCAAAAAAAAAAAAAAAAAAAAAAAAAAAAATTATATCGATTTATCGAGTATTTAAATTATATAGGTTCTACTGTAGTTGTTGTTTATGATGTTGTTTTGGCATTGCAGAGGCTAGTTAGAATGACTATTACTCATCCTAAGTACCCTATCTTCTATGCTTTCCCTTCCCATGCTGAGGTAATGTTTGTGTTTTCAATCAGTTTTTGTATTTGAGGCATAGGAGGTGATTATGAAGATGTTTGAAATTGCGTAATTAACAGGATTGGTTTGTAACTAAAACTGGCAAAAAGCTGTCTAAAGTGATGAAGTCTACCAGAATGCTTGCTATTGATTGTGAGATGGTTACTTGTGCGGATGGGAGTGAAGCTGTTGTTAGGGTTGGCGCCGTTGACCGTGATTTAAAGGTTTAGATTTTATCATTCTTCTTTGATCTAACCATTGTGATTTGTCTTGTTTTTTTTTTTTTTGTTAATTAACCTGATGAAGGTTCATGAATTATCAGGTGGTTCTTGACAAATTTGTGAAACCGAGCTTACCGGTTATTGACTATAAGACAGATATTACTGGAGTTACTGCTGAGGATCTTGAGAAGGCTACATTATCTGTTGCTGATATTCAGAAGAAACTGCAGAGGTTTCTTTCTAAAGGAACTATTTTAGTAGGTCATGGTTTGCACAATGATCTTCAAGGTTGGTTAGCTAGCTAGCGAAAATCTCTGATTTGTCTCTTTATATTTTTGTATTGTGCTTACCAGTTTTGTTACTATGATGATGATCACAGTGTTGAAGGTAGATCATGCTAGAGTTATCGATACTTCGCTTGTATTCAAGTATCCTGGTGTACACAATTCTCGAACACCTTCTTTGTTAAAATTATGCAAGGCAAGAATGTGAAACCGTTTACTATTCTCTTCTCATATGATATCAAACCAAGAGTTATATGTATAAAGATTTTGATAAATCCTGTTGTGGTGTAATTTCTCCAGTCTGTTTTGGATGAAGAATTGAGAATGGAGGGTGCTGCTCACAATTGCGTTCATGACGCTGCCGCTGCTATGAAGCTTGTGCTTGCTGTTGTGGAGAAAGGAGTAGAGACCTCGATTCCACAAACTGAAGAAGTAAGCTGGATTTTTACTATTCAACTAAGTTGCAAAAAAAAAAAAAAAAAGTGTATAATATATAGTTTTCTGAAACACAATGCATAAATGTCAGATGTTGGAGGTTGAGAAGACAATGCAGGAGGCCAGGAAGGCGAGTCTCTATCTTCATAAGATCCCTGACAATGTTCCCTCTCAAGAGTTGAAAGGAGTTATTACGGGAGACTTCAATGTTGACGTTAAGGTAATGTTATTTGTAAACCCCAACATGCTTAATTTTAATTCTTCTTACTAGGAATCTGAGGATCGTGTTTTGTTATTTTGTGCAGCCACCAAAGAAGGTAGGAGGTTATTATAGCGCAGAAGCTGTTTTTAGTAGTCAAGAGGAAGCAAATCAAGCATTTGATAACGTTGATGGAGATGTTGTTAAGGTACTTGGGATCCTCTCTCTCTCTCTCTCTGGGTCATGTTCAAGATCTGTAACCATCTTAAGAATATGTGTTTGCCGTCACTTTCTTTCAGGATACAATGGGTTTATCACAGAAAATGGTTGAGTTTAAGCTGAGTTCTGGATTAGTATCTAGACTGTACGTTCGTAAAAATGTTCAAGACGGTGAAGTCTCTGATGCCAAGAAGAGAAGTAACACAGAGGAGATCAAAGTGAGTAAAAATGTTCAAGATGGTGAAGTCTCTGATGCTAAGAAGAGAAGTAACACAGAGGAGATCAAAGTGGGTTCTAAAAGACAGAAGAGGGAGAATGATTCTGAGATGACTAGAGAAGAGAATGCAAACCATTGCAGCAGCCAAGAAGATCTGAAGGAGAAGCTGAAAGCTAAGGAAAGTGAGGTTGAGTCTCATTTAAAGGAAATTGAAGAACTGAAGGAGAAGCTCAAAGCTAAGGAACATGAGGTTGAGGCTCAGGATAAGATGATAACTAACCTCAAAAAGAAACTGAAGAAAAAGTGAAAAGATTTCATCATCCATATCAGATACTATTGTCTTCCAAATTTTGATTTTTAGCATTTCAGTTGAAAAGCTCATGAGATTTTGTATTGTTTACAATGAAGCCAATGCACACCAAACAATTTCTTTTGATATCTACCGTGAAAAAAAGAATATGAAAACTCAAGCTTATTCGTTTCATATCCTTCAACGAGTTGCTGATACTTTGTTACCATCCAAAGCTTCCCGTTCTTATGTTCCCTTAGAGCTCTTGCCCTTTGATCCTCTTGGTTTACTGTTTTTTGTTTCTTTGGTCACCACTGGGAGCTTTGAGGAAGAGTCTGACCATGGTGTCTTCTTTGATGCCACTGTTATATCTAAAGGGGACTTTATAATCCATCTGTTTACAAGTATAAAACATTACAAACTCAAGATCACATTGTAATGATAAACGAGTGTAAATACAACAACAAACTCACCCAGGTGGGAACTTGCTATCAGCTCTAGCTTCAACCCTAAGCCACCAAAGCAAAACACGCCTCCCACAGCTCCCAAGTGGTTCCACCATAGAAGCATCCTTAACCAGAGACAACACACCATCATCAACCCCTTCATCACCATCCAACAACTTATCAACATCTTTAACCCAACTCGGTCTATCATCACCACCACCCTCCTCCCAAACCAACCTAGAATTCAACACAAACCCTGCCCACTCCATCTTACTACCCATCATCATCTTCATCACACCCCCCTTACCATTAGTACCATAAGGCTTCGTATCAAAAACATGCCACCCCACTACCTTCCCAGAGGAATCACAACTAGGTCCTTGTATCGGCACCATCGACAACTCATTACCAGAACGAGCTAATAATATTCCAACGGAGACAGCACCAAACCATCTCACACTCTGAACCTCATCGAAAAACTCCATACTATGCATATTACTATCATCAACAAACACAACAACTCCGTCTAACTTCTCATCTCTAACAACCTTCAAAGCTTTAATCCTCATCTTACTCTCCAACCTCCTTCTACCTTCCCAAGTATCCACCATCTTCTCTTCGAATCCTAAATGAATCGTTTTCAATCCTGATTTTTTGATAAACGACGCCGTCTCGTTACTCTTCCCGCCAGCTTCCACCACGATCCACACGACGTCGTAAGGCACGAGCATCAGCGAGTGCATGACACCTGTCAAATGAAGCGCTTGGAACGTCCTTACGTAAGTCGGAGTCACTGCGATAACGGTCTTAGGGTTTGTGACGCCGTGGAGAGACTTCTGCTCGTTTTGTACTCTCTTGAGTAGCTGATGAGCTTTCACGACTTCGGTCGGGTTCGGGTGGGGCCAGGGACGGATCCGGATCCCGTGTCTTCCAACCGTTACTCGAGAGTTTGTGATTGTGACGTTAGGCTTCACTTGGAGGAGGTGGCTTAGGTTTACTTCGGGTGTTGTGAAGGAAGTGGAGGAGAGGAAGAAGAGGAGTACGTGGCTGAATCTGAACCCTAGGATCAAGCTGATTAAGCAGCAGAGAGAGTGAATCGCTAGCCAGAAGATTGAGGATGGAGATGGCTTGGGGATGAAGGATCCATCAACCAACGATCTGAAAGTGGTGGTTCCTCGACGGTTAAGGTAAGTAAATCGAAATGTAGAGAGGAGCTTCATCTTCTTCGATGCTTTCTCAAACAGTAAGGGGGAGAGTATAAAAGAGGGAAAAAAAAGTTTGTTAAGCTTTGATTAATTTAATTAATTACTTTGCATTTACGCATTTACGGTTTCATTATTCTAATTAATGTTATTATTATTATTATGGTTGCTCGCCTTCTGCTGGTGTAACGGACATATTTTAAAATTTGGAAATCGAAAAGTAAAAGCAATGTTGGAGATATAAATGTATAAAACCGACGAGTTACACGTGGATAATAATTAGTAAGAGGTTGAAGCGTTAATGTCGTGGGATTTATAAGGTGGAGTGATGATTAAGGAGATGATTTGGGGGTAGAAGCACGTGTTTAATGAGAGATGTGACGCTAATGATTGGTGTTTGATTACGTAAGCAGCCAGTGGAGGACAAATAATAGTAGGTTTCTGTTGAAGTTTTATTTCAAAGCAAAGGCTGCTTGTGGATTACTATTGTAAAGTCACAAACCTTAGAACAAATTGATTATTTAAAAGGTAAATTCTCTTATAAGACATTTTTTTATCAACACACTCAAAAGGCATGAAAATAATTTTCTTCACCGGAAAAACATATAAAGGAAAAATAATCAAAAGACGTAAAAGAACTTTAGACTTTTACTTTTTATCTTTAAATATTAATTTTTCAAAACTAAATCTCATTTTTAAAATCTAAACTTAAGTATAAATTAAATAACGTATAAATGTCTATTATCTCTCTAAAAAAATATTTGATCATATTAGTGTTTGTATGATATATTTATGTACAAAAATAATAATTTACTATTCGGTAGATAACATATATAATAATTGCAGTATAATTTAAATAATAAAAATATAAATATATAGAAATATGTAAACATTTTTGTTATTAGTATTTACTGCATTTTGAGCCTTAATGTCATTTAATTTATCAATTTAAAATTTACGTCTTTGTTCCGTCTACAACAGCTGTGTAATTACAAATTTACTAGGTGATTTTCCCGTGCTCATGCATGGGCATGAATATTCCTAAAAAATAAAATTTTATAATTACTGATTGATATTTAGTTTTAGTTTTAGTTTTAAATCAATTTATATGTATAATTTATGTTAATATATATTACATTATTCTAATTATACATATGACTTTGGATATATTATTATCGGTTTAATTATTTTTTTGATCAATAGTCGGTTTGGATATCAATTTGGTATATTGGATAATATCTATTTTTCAAATTCAGCTTTAATATTTTAATTCTAAATAGAATAAAACTTTGATTAATTTTCTTATTTTTATTTCGGTTGGTTATTGTCTTTAGATATGTAAATATATTATAGTCAAATTATGTATAACTTAATATATATTCTGCTTAAAATGAAATAAATAATCAGCTGAAGTGTTTGATTCAAAATTACATAAACGAATATAATTATAATATTTTAAAGTCTCATGCATATAAATTGATTAATATTTATTTTTTTAATACGCTTTGAGTCACCCTCTAATTTATATGTATAATATTAAATATATTATTATTATAAAATTATTAGATGTTTAATTTTGGAGATAAATTAGATCAGTCGAGTCATTCATTTTGTAAGTATATTGAGTTAAATATATTTTTAAATTAAAACTGAAGTATAATTACTTTTTATTTTAGTCAAGTCATATCAAATTAGTTTTATTTATCTCTTAAATATACAGGTATTTTCATAATATTTATTTACTATTTATTTTAGTTAAATCAAATCAAATTAGTTTTATTTATCGCTTAAATATACATGTATTTCATAATATTTATCAAATTATATGTTGATTTCTAAAAATATTAGAAAATAAAGTGTAACTGATAATTTTTAGATGTTCATGAACATATACATATTTTTATTTTAAAAATATAGTTATGTTATTTAAAATATATATTAATGGGGGTATTACTATTTTCTGAACTTTCCTTTTTAATAAAGTCCTATTATATATATATATATATATATATATATATATATATTTTCGTTTTAAAGTTTGTTTTAAAATTTTAGAAATATTTCCTTTTTATTATATATGTTATTTGGAAAAGGTAAAAAAAATAAATATAAAAAAAAATAATCTTAAAATTTAATAATTCATTAAGGGTATCTATGTAATCAACCATCGCGAAAGTTAACGTGAACGCGACACGTAGGAAACTGACTTCTCAAATAATATTATAGAGATTATTCGTACGCATACTGTGGTCATGAATAAGCTGGCTAACAAATTCAATGCCATTTATAAAAACAAACCCACGCCTTAATCTCTACGCTTAAGGCCCATTGAGGCCCAAAATAAATAGAACCACAACTTTTCAAAAGATTCGCTTCAACCCCTAATTTATGGCGGCGGCGATGTCTCCCCCCACCGTCGTCAGTTCATGAAACCCTCCTCGAATCTATCTCTTCTCAAATCTCTCCGTACCCGAGACTCTCCCTTCTTACTCACCCGAACAATGACACAAACCACAGATCTCCTCTGCTCAGATCAGCAGCAGGAGCATGATGTACAAATTGAGAAGCCGACCGAAGCAGCACCAACAAGCTTAAGCTCTCCATGTCGTGTATTGAGCATTGACACTAGAGTTGAACAGGCTTGGGCACACTGGAAGAAACTAGGTAGACCGAAGTATATAGTAGCTCCAATGGTGGATAACTCTGAGCTTCCGTTTCGATTGCTCTGCCAGAAATACGGAGCTCAAGCTGCTTACACGCCGATGCTTCATTCTAGGATTTTTACGGAGACTGATAATCGAAACAAGGAGTTCACCACTTGTAAGGTTTGTAATAACTCTCTCAAGATTCAATCTGATTCAGTTTGAAACCGTTGTTATGTTTTTATGACAATTGTAGGAGGACAGGCCATTGTTTGTGCAGTTCTGTGCTAATGATCCTGATACACTCTTGGAAGCTGCTAAGAGAGTCGAGAATTACTGCGATTATGTTGATATCAATCTAGGGTAAACTACAAGTCTTCATCTTTGTAATAAAGATTGAATTTTTTATTGCAACACTGTTTAAGTTTTGTTAGTTCAGTGTCCGTAGATTCTGGAAGTTATAGAGTTTAAAATGATTGTTAACTAGTTTGAATCTTCACACCTTGTTTATTAGGATTCTTTAGTAAAGATTTAATTTTATGGCAGAACTGCTCAAGTTTTGTTATTTCAGACATAATTCAATGATTCGGGTCCGTAGATTGTAGAAATGATAAGGTTCAATGAGTGTTTGTAGCACAAAGTGTAGTTTGAAACTTACTTATTTGTGAAATAGCTAAGAAAAAAAGAAAAATTAGTTTTTTAGAGAGAGAGTAGAGAGAAATAGGAAGAAAAAAGAAGAGAGAGAGTGTAAATTTGTTTACTTAGTGAATTATGGGTTTTTATGTAGCTATACCACCTAATTTCCCTTGAAACTTGGGCTATTGAATTTTTATTGCATCACTGTTTAAGTATTGTTAGTTCAATGTCCGTAGGTTCTGGAAGTTATAGAGTTTAATGATTGTTAAGTAGTTTGAATCTTCACACCTTGTTTATTAGGATTCTTCAGTAAAGATCTAACTTTATCGTAGAACTGTTCAAATTTTGTTAGTTGACTTGAGACATAGTTCAATGATTAGGATCTGTAGATTGTAGTAATGATAGAGTTCAATGAATGTTTGTAGCACATTGACCTTAAGTGTTATAAACTTGGGCTATCGCAGCACTGTTCAAATTTTTATAGTTCAGACATAGTACAATGATTCAGGTCCGTAGATTGTAGAAATGATAGTGTTTGATGAGTGTTAGTAACACAAAGTTTAGTTTGAAACTTGGGCTATTGAGTAAGATTCTTTGTTGGGGTTTTGGTTTCAGGTGTCCTCAACGTATTGCGAGGAGAGGAAACTATGGTGCATTCTTGATGGACAATCTTCCTTTAGTCAAATCACTTGTTGAAAAGCTAGCTCAGAACCTCACTGTTCCCGTCTCCTGCAAGATCCGCATTTTCCCAAACCTTCAAGACACACTCAATTACGCCAAGATGCTAGAAGACGCTGGTTGCTCGCTGGTAGCAGTTCATGGCAGAACCAGAGATGAGAAAGACGGCAAAAAGTTTAGAGCTAACTGGGGCGCCATCAAGGAGGTGAGAAACGCTCTGAGGATCCCTGTTTTAGCCAATGGGAATGTGAGATGCATTGAAGATGTGGAGGACTGTATCAGAGAGACGGGTGTTGAAGGTGTTCTTTCTGCAGAGACGCTTCTTGAAAACCCTGCGGTGTTTGCCGGGTTTAGAACCGCTGAATGGGCTAAAGACAGTGAAGAAGAAGAAGAGGGATACGTTGATGGAGGGTTAGATCAGGGAGATTTAGTTGTTGAGTATTTGAAGTTATGTGAGAAACATCCGGTTCCATGGAGGATGATTCGGTCTCACGTGCATAAGATGTTGGGAGATTGGTTTAAGGTTCATCCACAGGTTAGAGAGCAGCTTAATTCTCAGAACATATTGACTTTTGAGTTTCTATACGGTCTTGTGGATCAGCTAAAAGAGCTTGGAGGACGAGTTCCACTCTACAAGAAGAGGAAATTAGATATTCCACATGGGTCTCCACCAAAGGGTTTAGAGAGTTGAATTTATACGCCAAAGATTCGTTGGTATTTTTATTTTGTATCACTGTCCAAATACTTCTTTAAGTAAAACTGTCATTTATAATCAAGATTTTTGATTAATATTCCCTCCATTCAAAATGATCTATGTTTTACAATAAAATTTTATTTCAAAAAGATACATTTTTTATATTTTCAGTGTATTTGATCAATTGTAAACTTAATTTTGAATTTATGAGAAATAGTTAATCATATGTTTATAATTAAAATTTAAGATGTTTTCTATTATTTGTTAGAATTTAAAATATGCATCATTTAAAAAAAGGAAAAGTATTATTTAGCTAAGTAAATAAGCTTTTTTGTAAAGTTTTAATAGATTGAATTTTCACATGGGTCTAAGATTTGAATATTACAGTAGGAGAAAAGACATAAAGGTAGAAAGAAAGGAAAAAGGTTTTTATTTAACTCAAACTCCTCCGCGATTAACGTTGTCTATCAACGAGATTTTTAGCGCACATTTTACTCAAGACGACGAAGAAACAGAGCGTTTCTTACGACCACGGCAAAACCGCGTGCTGTTCTTATCCATCCTCTCCAACACGTAGTGCGCAAGCATGTCGTTAGATTCCACAAGATTCTCCCGACAAAGAAACTCATCTCCACAAAGTCTCTCGATCTCCCTGTAATAATCGTGAACAAACACATGCGTCTTATGACTCCCTCCCGCCTTCTTACTCCTCGCAAGAACCGCCGCCGTAAAAATAGACGCCATCCTCCCAGGCACATCTCCACCGTCGCCACGTGGCCCGTCCACAAGGATCACGTCCCAGTCAAGATCGTAGACATGGTTCGGCAAGTCGTTGAGACCCAACTTACAGTCCGAGAAGAGGAGATTCTGCACGGGACGACACTCGTTCTCAACCGCGTCTTTAACCGCGGAGACAAGCTCACGTGCCTCACGTGCTTTGGTCGTGTACTGAACGTCGAAGACTTCGATCTCCGGGTGAATCTCTTCGAAGTAAGCAGCGTAGTAACGATTCTCCTCGATGTACACCGTCCTGCCGTTGTGGTTTAGAGATTTCCAGAGGAGGGTTTCGTGCGTTAGGCCGAAGACGAGGAGGTTACACGGCGGAGGGCAGCGGCGGAGGACGTCGGAGATGGATTTCATCTCTCCGTGGGACATGTGGTAGCTGTCGTTGGATCTTGATGCGTAGTGGAGAAGAGCGTTGATGGTGGTCGTTGGGAGTTGAGAGATCGGAGAGGAGGAAGCGACGGTGGAGGTGGTTTTGGTGGAGATGATTGTGTCGGTGGTGTAGAGTAGAGTGAGGAGAAAAGAGATGGTGAAGAATGAGATGAAAGCGAGAAGCCATAGACGGTTTGTGCTTGTTTGTTTTTGAATGTATGGGTGAACAAGTATGAGCTTCGTGTTTGTGTTCCCTCCTCCGCTTTTCATTTTTTTGTGTAGACAGAGGAAGAAGACGAAGGGAATGACTATGTTTTAAAAAGTGGTTTTGAGAAGTATTAAATCAAATATTTGAAGTAAGAACCTATCAGAGAGTGACGACGATTGGTCAATATTATAATCTATAGTTTTAATATTCTAGAAGATTAATTGATCGCTCTGGAATTCTTATTAATTTTTTTTTGTAGCCTTTCCGTAAAACCTTTGTTTGGTTTGGTATTATTTTTGAAGGCGACATTTCTCTAATACAATTAAGAAAATAACCTTTATCTAACACAGGAGATTAACCTAATTCAAAAATCACAGTAAACTTTTTGTTGCCTACACACAATAATTTTTGTATGTTAGCTGTAAAAACATAAATTTACCATGAGAATTTTAAACTGAACGAGACTAAATAAACAAACGACGTAAGTTAATAATTAACAAAATCTTTAAACTATAATGCGAGTTGTGGTTTGTTGGGAAGAATACAAATTTGGCGAAACTAATAAGACACTAAAAACAGAACAAAACACCAAATGTTAATTCTTGGTTATATCGATAAAATAGTAAGAAAAATGTAAATAACTAAGGAGGGTGTGTGTGTGGTTAGAAGGTGGTTGTACCGTACATGCATGGAGCTGGTGAGAGGAAGAAGAAGGGAGAAGAGAGAAGAGAGGTGTCGGCGTTTTGGTTACTGCAAAGTGACACCATAACTAATTACAGTCCACATGTCTTTGTCCCTTCTTCTTCTTCTTTGTTTTCTTTCTTACGAAATAATATATAAAACTAATACATTTAAATATTATTATCATATAAAAATATGTCATCAAAAAGGTGTTTAAAATATATGCTCAACAAAAACAAAGTAAACGCTTCATCTGATAGTGTTTCAAAAAAAAAAAAAAACGCTTCATCTGATTATTAGTTACAAGTTACAACATACCAAAGCCCAGAGTGACTAGGAGAAAACCAGCTTTATATTATCCTTTAATAACTCACTAAACCGAGTTACAAGAAGTTTAAATCTAACCAATTAACCATGTAAACATATTATCTGTGAATTACCTATCTCATCTGATTAACGTATATGAATGTTCAACGAAGAAAAAAAGAGTACTGAACGTGTGGAATAAAGTAAGAGTAATATAAGGACGTGTGGAATAAATTTATAAAGTAAGAGTAATACAAGTCAAAATGAATTTTCACTAATATACTTTTTTGTTTGGAACATTCACTTAGGGATGGGCACAAAACGCATATCCAGAATTTTTAAAAGATTTGTGATTTGATCCACTCCATACGGATAGTTGATTTTTCAATTCGCGTTGATCAATTATTTTTTGGATATTCGGTATTGTAGATATCTGTAAATATTACGAGATATTCGATTAGTCTTCAAAAAATAGTAAACAAATTTTTTTTTTTTGAAAAAAGAAGAATAAATTTACTACTCCACAATACCATTTTTCACTACTTGAAAAAAATACATCTTGTTAAATTTTCATAACTAAATAATTAATTTAGTGATAGTGTGAGGTTTCATTCATCAATATTGGCGTGGAGGCTCAGATTAGATGGCTTAGCCACAAAGGAATCCTTTACTGAAGTCCACCAGCCAACTATGGCCCAGGTGTATTTTATTTTGGGCTTTCTCCTAGCCCATACAGATTCATGATTTTATTCTTTTAGACATTTTGGTCTATAATGGACCCTTTATATGCTTCTTATCCGAGGATTAGCTAGTTAAGTATATGTGTTACAAAAAAAAAAAAAAAAAAAAAGCTAGTTAAGTATATAATCCACCTTTTGATGTGATACTTATATACGTAAGTCTAAAGTAATACTGGTGGGCGCTCCTTTTTAGAACTTATTTACAAATGATTTAAGTCAAAATCACTTTCGTTAGTTTTTCTCCGTATAGCCACCCATCACTTTATTCTTTAATTGATTAAAAATGAGAATTTAGTGTAGTCTTTAAAATTCAATGTTTAAGGAAATGACGTAAATGGAGAGTGGAGATGCTGTTTTTGAGTCACACAAAAGCAGCACGCTCTGCTTATCTTGAATGATCTTTATAAAGAAAGTGCACCATGAAAAAAGTGAGTACCAATAAACAATCTTTTTTATCTTTTCTTAAAATAAAATAAAAAAACAGAGAAGAGTGGGAACAAAGAGATTTATGTAATTGGAGCCAAACTCGAACAATGCCGTATAACTCTCCAAACTTCGCCACAATGTCAAATTGTCAGTATCAATATTATTCCCCCTCTTCCCCAATTAATTTACATAAACGACAATAATTTATTTTGTTTTTACGTTTTGAAAATTATAACCTCTCTCTTTTTTTTTTTTGGTTGTGAAGACAAAATGTAAGGAAAAAAAAAGGGACCACAGCTGCTTGGCTACGAGTCTAGTCGTTTCCCTCGGACCAATCAGCAACGTCTATAGCCCACTCACGGACTCACTCACACTTTCATTAGCGGCTCAAGACGCTAAAATTCCTACGCGCTTCACTCCGCGCCACTACTCACAGTCCCAATGCGATTCTTCTCGGAAAACATAATTTTGACCGCCTCGGTTAAAAATAAAAACTCTTTTGAAGAAATGCATGATTCTGTTAACTAACAGCGTAGTAACTTTTAGATGTTTATGATAAACCCAACACTTTTCTTACTAACATTCATAATGACTTAAAGTTTACAAGAGAAAAAAACTATATAAAAAATGCATAGAATAACAAACGATCTTACACGTACCATGTCATTTTCTCATACCTACACAATTCAATGGAACGTTAGGTCTAATTTGCGCCATAAGTTATAACGTAGACCGTTTTCATATACTTGATTTGTAACAAGTTTGTTATGCTGAAAATATAATTAATTTATGAAAAATTGCTTGAAATATACTAAATTGGATATCATTTTTTAAAAATAATATTCATTCAAAAATATTTAGACCTTCAAATTTGAAATTTAAGGGATGATTAGCAGTTGTTGTATGTGTTCTCTACGGCCTTATTTATTTCTAAAGCACTAAACTGAAAGCAATCAAATTTTAATCTAAAGCCGTATAAGTGTTTTCCAGAACCAAATATCCACATCAGTTTTTGAGAATTTTCCTAAAATTCAAAAGAAATAAAATTTAAAACCACAACAAAACATTTACAGATTTTTTTCTACAGAAAAAAACTTAAAGCTACAATCGTTTTCAATCGGACCTTTAGTATTTGTGGGATGAAGTTGGTTTACTGAGTTTGACATTTTAATATTCGGGTTTCAAGTTTATTATTTTATAAAGTTAATTTATCTTTTCCATAATAAACTTAAAGATTTATAAAGAAAATAATTATCATTTGAAAAATGTATCTAATTTGAGATAAAGTTATCTGATTTGATTTGAGATAGAAATAATTTCCCCTTTAATTTATCAGTCATGTACTCCTATTAAAACAAAATAAATATATTCACTGACTAAAAAATTTCACCACAAGCACGTGATCCACTTCATATCCCCCAGACTCTCTCTTATTCCAAGCGGACTTCATAGCTTTGCAAAAAAAAAACACCAAAAAGTTAAAAAAAAAAATGTCACTGAAACTTCTTCTCTTCTCCCTCCTCCTCCTCCATGTCTCCGCCGTACTCTCATCACCGGAGCCGAACTACTTCAACTCACTACTCCCATCCGACGCAGTCGCCTTACTCTCCTTCAAATCCACCGCCGATCTCGACAACAAGCTCCTCTACTCCCTCACCGAGCGTTACGACTACTGTCAATGGCGCGGCGTCAAATGCGCACAAGGCCGCGTCGTCCGCCTCGTCCTCTCCGGCGTCGGCCTCCGCGGCTACTTCTCCTCCGCCACTCTCGGCCGCCTCGACCAGCTCCGAGTCCTGAGTCTCGAGAATAACTCCCTCTTCGGCCCGATCCCTGATCTCTCCTCTCTCGTTAACCTAAAATCTCTCTTCCTTAGCCGGAACGAGTTCGCCGGAGCTTTCCCTCCTTCGATTCTCTTTCTCCACCGGTTAATGATTCTCTCTCTCTCTTATAACAACTTCACCGGTCAGATTCCGTTGGAGTTAACCGCTCTCGACCGGTTAACTTCATTAAATCTAGAGTCTAACCGTTTTAACGGAACGCTCCCGTCTCTTAACCAGTCGTTTCTAACGTCCTTTAACGTTTCCGGTAACAACTTAACGGGAGTTATACCAACGACTTTATCCCGATTCGATGCGTCGTCGTTTAAGTCCAACCCGGGACTATGCGGGGAGATAATCAACAGAGCTTGTCCTACACGCTCTCCCTTCTTCGGTTCAACTAACAAAACGACGTCGTCGTCGCAGCCTCCTTTAGGACAAAGCGCGCAGGCGCAGAACGGAGGAGCGGTTGTTATCTCTCCCGTTGTTTCGCATAAGAAAGGTAAAGAGAATGGGCTTGTATTGGGCTTCACAGTGGGCCTCGCGTCGCTCATCGTCCTCGGTCTCTGCCTCGTCGTGTTCTCGTTAGTGATTAAGAAACATAATAACGATAACGAGATTTACGAACCAACAAGTCAAAAGGAAAACGCCTCTTCCTCCTCCCAACAACAACAACAACAGACTCAAATTCCACGAACAGTTCCTATTTTGGAAACCCATAATAAACCCGAATCTAACAAGAAACTTCAGCTCCGCTCCACAGAGCAGCAAAGCAGAGTTCCAAACAGCGGGAATCTAATCTTCTGCGGAGAGTCGAGTAGTCAAGGGCTGTTGTACACTCTCGAGCAGCTGATGAGAGCCTCCGCGGAGCTTCTAGGAAGAGGTTCCGTAGGGATTACGTATAAGGCGGTGTTTGATAATCAGCTTATCGTGACGGTGAAGAGGCTAGACGCGGCGAAAACGGCGGTGACGAGTGAGGAGGCGTTTGAGAATCATATGGAGATTGTTGGTGGACTTAGACATCAGAATCTTGTTCCCATTAGGGCTTATTTTCAGTCTAATGGAGAGAGACTCATCATCTTTGATTATCAACCTAATGGTAGCCTCTTCAATCTCATTCACGGTACGTTCATCTTTTAGGGTTTTAGTTTTGAACTCAGTGAGTCACCACCGAGTTGAGGATTTATTTACTTTAATTAATTACCATTTAATGTGGGTCATTAGTTTAGGGTCTTAATCATGACGTGACAAATCGTAAGTTGTTTTTTTGACTATAGAATGCGCACTGTTATTTTTAGTTTAAAGCTTAAACCCTAAATTATTAGAGTACGAAGTCTTTTAAGTGTGGCGGGTTTAGTGCACACAGGTTTTAGTAGTGACGTGCCAAACCGTAAGTTGTTTTTTGACTATAGAATATTAGAATGAGCCTTAACTAATGACACGCTTTATTAGAATGAGCCTTAACTAATGACACGCTTTTTTTACTTTATTTTGAAAGCTTAAGCCCTAAATTAATGAGAGAAATCACGAGAGAGTTTCAGTGTGGCGGGTTTAGTGCTCACTGGCTTTTTATTAGTGAACTTGCTAAACTGAAGCTGACCACACAGCGACAATCGCGGGTCTTACTTTTGTAGTAATATAATATTTTTAAAAAAAGTTTTGTTCGTTTGCTCTTTTTTTTCTGAAGTCTTCGTTGAAATTACTAAACACTAGTGGAAGAAGACAGAAACCTGGTGGAACTCTGTGCTGTTTTTTCACGTGAAATCTCATCTTTTGCCATCACTCTGTCTCTACACCTTGCGTTAGTGCTTATATGCCGGAGAAATATTAAACATTATTATTTTTTGACATGCACTTGTGATGAAACTTACGAATTACATTAAGAATGTTTGTGCTATTTGGTGTGCTATTTGGTGCTTCTAGCTCCCATATTAATGAGACTAACCTTATTTCCAATATTTAACAGGTTCTAGATCCTCAAGAGCAAAGCCATTACATTGGACATCATGTTTAAAGATTGCAGAAGATGTAGCTCAAGGCTTATACTACATTCACCAAACATCATCAGCACTAGTCCATGGAAACCTTAAATCAACTAACATCCTCCTCGGACATGACTTCGAAGCTTGTTTAACTGATTACTGCCTCAGTGTCTTAACAGACTCTTCTTCATCTAACGATGATGATCCTGACTCTTCCTCTTACAAAGCTCCTGAGATCAGAAAATCATCTCGCAGACCAACTTCCAAATGCGACGTGTATTCGTTTGGTGTCTTGATCTTTGAGCTTTTGACTGGTAAGAACGCATCTAGGCATCCCTTTATGGCGCCTCATGATATGCTTGATTGGGTTAGAGCAATGAGAGAAGAGGAGGAAGGAGCAGAGGATAATAGGCTTGGGATGATGACTGAAACAGCTTGTCTTTGCCGTGTGACATCTCCGGAGCAAAGACCAACGATGAGACAAGTGATCAAGATGATTCAGGAGATTAAGGAGAGTGTTATGGGCGAAGAGAACGATCCTTTCCAGTGAAACGAAACTCGTAGAGCTTCCTCCGACCAGTTTTCCCAAGTGAGGGGGGTAAATTTAGTCAAAAAGAGAATATTAGATGGCGTAGATTGTAATTTTCTTAGGATGTGGGGTCGGAGTTGTAACAACGTTGAAGAAGTTTGAGTAGCAAAAGTCAAGGAAAGATGCTTTTTTGGTTTTTCCACATATATGATATGAACCGTTGATATTTTTTTTACCAGATAAATAATTGTGAGTTTAAGCCCCACCTCTGTCAGTATATTTATGATTTCTTTCCAAAATGAGATATTTTAAAAATAAAAATTATTCAGTGCAATGCAAATACTCCATCCAGGGTTGGATAATACAGTTACAACAAAACTATACAGTTAAGCCCCATTAGTTTAAATTATAAAAGGCCATATCTAAGTTACAGGTAACTTACAAGGCCCAGTTTGATACTCCCGGTCCATTAACTATGGCTTATATGAACTCTCGCATTCGAACAATAACAATCTATTTATTTTAGATACACAAAGATTTGTTTGTTATTTTAGGGGATGATTGGCAAGTGCTTTAGAAGTGCTGTAGAAGCTTTCCGCAGCCCAAATTATTTCTAACGCGAAATTCTTTTCCAATCATGCTTTATAAAGATTTTTTAAAGCAACAGATTTTTCTTTCCTTTTTATTTAGTTTTGGCTGTGAAAAACACTAAACCTAGAGCATTTATTTTTTGCTTTAGAAATTTATATGTAAATGATTAAATTTTTTTAAATCTACAGCCAAAATCTTACAGCTAAATTATCTACAGCCGCAGAAGAAAAATCTACAGCTATAATTTTACAACAAAAAATATAAAGCTACAGTTCATTTCAATCAACCTCTTAAAAAGATTCAGTCATTTACATATAAATTTCTAAAGCAAAAAATAAATGCTCTAGATTTAGTGCTTTCCACAGCCAAAACTAAATAAAAAGAAAGAAAAATCTGTGATTTTAAAAAATCTTTATAAAGCGTGATTAGAAATTTTTTTTGCTTTAAAAATAATTTGGATTGTGGAAAGTTTCTACAGCACTTCTAAAGCACTTGCCAATCATCCCCTTAAATTCGAGTGTCAAGTTTTATCATCGTTTACTATTTAGTATTTAGTGGATTAGTTGATAATGATATACACTGTGTTGACTTTTACTGATATTCAGCCGCCTCGTGGTACAGTTGATTCAGAAATATTTAGCAAGATTATTTTCCCCTGATTTAAGAAAGATTAGTAATTATGTTCATCTTCATGTTCGTTATAAATGCATCTCCGACCTCATTTCATAATTTATTATAAAATGAAATGTAAAATAGAATGATGAAAAAATAAAAAAATAATTATTTTATTTATAGAATAATGAGTTTTTTGTTTGTTCATTACTCTATTTTTCACTTCATTTTACAGTAAATTATGGAGTAGAATTGGAAATACTTTAAGTAATTAATGCGGTACGCATTTTTGACATTATATGCAATAATATTTTACATATTGAATCGGTTCAGAGTTCTAATATTTTAACAAATATTTGATTGAATAAACGATGATATATGATAATCCGAAGAGGTATATAACAACAACGATATAAAACAACATAATATTTAAATAAATGGCGACCCCATAATTTTTTTGAAAAAAAACATGTAACAAAGTGGTCCATTTTCTATAAAATGAATTGATATCTTTGCTTTTCCGTGGTAATTGGCGCCATGTTCACGTGCCAACTGGGTCACAGCTAAAAGTTTAATTATTAAATCGTTTATTTTCTATAAATACTACTTCCCTGTTGAAATGATTTGGTTTGTAAATTTCATATTTTAAATTTAAACCAAAGTCGTGGGAACGATCCAAATATCACTCAACTCATCCTACCCTACCCTACATATTTTTCTAATAACAAATTTGCAATATTAATAGACAATTTAAACAAATCTTTTGCGTGTAACGATTACCAAATGAGCGTCGAATTATTATGAAAGGAACATAGATTGTTACTTAACATCGTTATATATTTCCTTGTCGGCATAATATTTTTTCTTATTATCGGAATAATCGTTATATACATATACACTGACGTTTATATATTGAGGACCATGGACCACCGAACAAAATTTAGAAAACATAAAAGAAAAAATCCCTTATTAATATGTCCATTTGTAAAATTATGACTTACGGTATATAGTAGATGGGTTCACATCACAAGAATATTATTGAAATCGTGAAGAAAACTAGTCAAGAGAGCAGCAACATCATATAATATGGTTCAACTTATTAATATTAAAGATTATACTTAAATCATGTATAAGCTGTCGATAACTCATTACAATAAAGATCATTATCCATATGAATTTTGAATGAAGAAAATACAACTCGACACTCCTGAAAATAACATAAAACAATTATTGGAAGATCGGTTCTTTCGGGGATTGACATATTGTTAATCGTAATCAAGCTCCCACCTGCTGTATAAAATATTAAAATTTATAATTCACATACTAATAACTAATTATGCAAACTATCTACGACGGAGGACAAAAACCATTTACAATTCTTAATTTTTTTTCATTACGTTTACGGTCATAGGCTTCAGATAGTGATTAGCCGTCCGTTCCACACAATCGTAAATAATAACAAAAATCTTTATATATATCTATGTATATATATATTTTATTACTATTCGAATCATATCATCTTTATTCTACGATTGTTCTGTATATTATCATTCAGAACTTTAATATCTCTATTTTGAATTTATTTTCATCATCTGCTATTACTTTTTAATTTCACATTAGTTCTCTCACTGTTTTGGTGAAAACATATATATGTTTTGTATCTCTAAAACCGAATTAATTAAATCTTCTTCAAATCACTTTACAATAATAAAGCTAGTGTTAGTATTGTTTAGTTCGTTATACAATTGTAAAGTTGATTTAAAATGAAACATATGAGAAACAAAAACATTATATTCATATTTTCTGGGAAAAATACTTTGTTATTTTAAAGATTGGAGAACACAATCTATCATTATTACATTGTTAATGTTATTATGTTCTTATAATACTCTTTTGATGATCATATATTGGTTGGTTGTTGTAATTATTATTGTATTGTTTTGAAACAAAATTATTATTTGTAATGTTACTTTTTTATGTTTCAAACACTTTGATTGGTTTGTTATGTTTGTATAATAACATTATCGACAAAGATTATTAGTTTAAGTGGGTTGGAATACACCAAAATTCTCAATATTATACCGAAAGTAACCCTCAGAATATCAAAAGAAAAAAACTGGAAACATGACAGGACTACGAATAACGGGGGAATGAAAAGGACAAGAAGGACAATGCTTAATACGTGTCGTAATTCGAGTACACATAAAGTCAATTCCTAACGGTATCCAGTCACCGACCACCGACCTAACTTTCTTCTCCACTAGCCTATAACAGTATCTCGTAGGTATTATTATACACTGTCTGTTAGATAATCTACGTACCGTAACAATGTCCAAAATTCATACTCAAAATTTATAGAAAATTCAGGAGAAACCACTTCTTATAAACGTTTCTGAAATATTCGTTTATTTAAATTACATATCTTCCGAATATTTAATAACAAAAACTCCTGAACATAGTTTTAGTTAGCTTTTTATCTATTCAGTGATGGAAAGTACTATCCTCAAAAAATGCTCTTTTCGAAAATTCAGAAAAGTGTATTCCTATAAAAAAGAATTCATGAATACAAAAAGAAAATGGTCTTCATATGATTCACCGATTTTAGTATTTCCCACAGTACTTATCCTCATAGAAAGGCTTTTATGCATCTAATGTTGAAAATACGTATTTTTAAAAAAATACGTATTTTTAAAAAAATACGTATTTTCTTATTACGTAATTATTATTCTCATGTTCTAATTACAACATTGTGGAAAGATTTCAGATAATAACGAAATGGTTTTGGTTATTTGCTTCTGTTGTCTATGGGGACAAGGAGTGCAGGTGTCTTTCATAATTATATAGAATCTGGTTATATATTTTGATATCCATAGAAACAATTATATATGTTAGTTAGAAGTACAAGGGTATATTCGTGGACAGTATATTTAAATAGTAAAACACTACCCAGAGGAGGCTTTTGCGTACTATCTATATACTACTATAATAGTTATATATGATGGAGTAGAATATTAATTAGAGAAAAGGAAGAAATAATATCAAGTATAGTATTAATATGCGCATGTCATCTCCACCACCTCTTCTTCCGCCTATCCTCTTTAAAAAGTTTTCTGTTCCATTAGAAAAAAAAAAAAAACAATCAGAAGATACAGCTTTCATCAATATTCATTAATTTATTTAAAATAATATTAAAAAAAAAACTGATTCATACAGACAGGAAAAGAAAAACTTGTTATAACTACAAAAACGAATCCACCACCATACCACCATGACAAGTTTATCTTCTAAATTCTCTTCTCTCTACTTTTTCTTTTGTCGGTGAATTTGGATTTGTCTACTCCCTCCACCATCATATTACCACCTGCAACCCCTCTCTCTCTCTCTCTCCGACATATTTATTCTCTGTCACCGTCTCTCTCTCTCTGACCAAACCTAGATCGAGAAAAGTTCGGTCTAATTCCTCAAAAGTCTCTTCCTCTATGGACGGCGGCGGAGTAGCTGACGTGGCAGTCGCCGGGACGACGAGGAAGAGAGAGAGACCTTACAAGGGTATAAGGATGAGGAAGTGGGGGAAATGGGTTGCGGAGATTCGAGAGCCCAACAAGCGCTCTAGGCTATGGCTTGGCTCTTACTCAACGCCCGAGGCGGCGGCGCGAGCCTACGATACGGCGGTTTTCTACCTCAGAGGACCGACGGCGAGGCTTAACTTCCCTGAGCTTCTCACCGGAGAGAAATTTTCCGAGGAGGATATGTCGGCTGCGACGATTAGGAAGAAAGCGACGGAGGTTGGGGCTCAGGTAGACGCTTTGGGGACGGCGGTGCTGAGTAACTGCCGCCGTGTTTTTGGTCAGAGTCAAGAGAGTGATGATGATAATAAGAATTTTCATCGGAGTTATCATCAAAACGTAGAGAGAGGAGAAGAAGATGATGAGAAGAGAGGCGGGTGGTTATTGGAGCGGGTTGACTTGAATAAATTACCCGACCCGGAAAGCTCCGATGAAGACTGGGAAAGCAAATAAACAAAAAAAAATGTTATATATATTTTGGAGCGGTGGCCGCACGCCTCGGCCTACCTCTGGGGAATATCATTAGCGCCGTTTATGTTTTTTTTTTTTTTTAATTTGCATTATCTGAAATTTTAGTGTTTCTAGTTATTAGTTTTTGCTTCTTTCTTGTCTTTTATTACGTGTTTTGCGGTTTATGGAATTTTAGGCTATTGCTTAAAGAATGCATAAGTGTATATTACCACTCATTTAATGAATTTCGCCCTATTCTCTTATCATTAATTTGTTACTTTATCGTTACCCTAAATACGAGTGTTTTTAAACCGGTATCAAACCGGCGGTCAGACACGGTTAATTTCTGGATCAGATGTATAAAATCGGATTGATTTAGATTGTACTAAAAAAAAAAATTAATTATTTTTGTCCTGTAAAATCACTAACTATTATTACAAAGTAAAACTTATATTTTTTATTCTTTCTTTTTCTTGAACTATAATAAATATTAAACTTAAATTATTAATTTTTTCTATATGAAGTCAAAATATTAATTTATATTTATTTTATTTAATTTATACTTCAGCTTTATTTCATAATTATTTCTATTATTCATAAAACTTAATTATGTTTATAAAATTCACTGGAATTCTATCTTCTTTTATTCTGTATAAATCAATAAATTTGACTGAACCTATTCGAACTAGCTATATTGACTTATGATCCAAAATATTACAAAATATCCTTTTACTGATAAAAATAATTAACAATCTATGTTGAGATATAATACAAGTTATTTTATTGAAAGTTTCAAATTTGTTAATAAGATTTTAGTTAAATGATTAATAAAAAAATCATATAGTGTTCCTTATTAAGCTTTCGGCTTGACAATATTAGGTCGTGCTGGCTTAAACTGCAAATACTTTTGATTTAGTTTTGTTTATTTGTCTATATACTATACATTTGTAGATGGTTTTAATTTGGTATAACTTAAGGTCATGATTGATCATTTATAGAGTAAAAGAAAAGTATATTTTAGTCAAACGTATATTAAAAATGAAAATAAGAGAGAAAATAATAAAATAGTAAAGAGAAGAAATGAAAAATATGTTACTTTCATTAAATCTAAAATAACAATAAGGGCGTGACTGATAAATATAGAGTAAATAAAATTGATTAAAGTGAATAAATAAGAGAAAATTTGTGTATTAATAAAAGAAGATATGGAACCAACCGAGAAACTTTTTTTCCTTGCAAATATGGAGGAAAACATGTATTGTTTTTAATCTTCTGAAAAGTAAACAAAGTAAGAAGTTAAAAAAGGGTTTCACTTGATTGATAATAAAATAGCTGAAATCAAGAGTAAATTTGTTTACTCATATTATGTCGTTAGTTGTGCTTTACAGTCCATCTTAAATGAATATTTTTCTTTGTTTGAATAAGAACTAGCTAGAGTAAAATAATTATAACTCTATTTGACTGGCAAAATTATAAAGTAAATTTCCATAATAATTTTCACCTCTTTTATTTATTCTAACAATGCTATCTAGTCAAACTATAAGAGCAATTCTGTTCTATACTGGTTTTCTATACATTTTGATAGTGTATGGTGCTTTAATGAATGCCTTCTCTTCTTCTTCTTTTTTTTTTTTTTTTTTTTTTTTTTTTTTTTTTTTTTTTTTTTTTTTTTTTTTTTTTTTTTAAAGGATGCATTCTCTTCTTGATTTGAAGTTTAGGAGATTGTCAGGTAGATTAGATCGAAGGGTGGGGATTTCAAGTTGAATAATAATAACGAGACAAAGTATGACCTACATGCATATCATATAAAAGCAACTTGACATAGTATATCTCTATTAATTACGTCCACATTTTTTTTTTTGTTTTCTGTTAATTCTAGTTTATTATATAGATATTCTAATGCATGTATGGATAAGTTTTTGGGTCGTCGGGGACTTGATCACTCGGGGGGTGTTTTGTTTTTTGTCTTCTGCTCCATTTCTATTTGTTCTGTGGGTACCATTTAGATTTTATATGCTCTATCTATCTCTCCAAGTTCTATTATTACAAGTTCTTATTATTATTGCTGCTTTTATTTCAAGATCTGTTTCTAATAAATTTACGTTATCTTGTGTATATCGGAGTTTATATTTGTCCTTCACCATACGTTTAGTATACTTTAATATATGTGACATGGGCCAAAGAAAAGTATGTTGTATATATCAATACGTAAATTTTTAAAAATCAGTACGTATGTAAGATTATATATCGCATTTTTCATTTTTCTTTCATATTTCCTATTGAGATCGTGTCGGGGGTTTCTAGCTATGCCGATCCTTTTTATTGGTGAAAATTAAAACAATAAAACCAGTTACAAAAAAAAAAAAAATTAAAACAATAATATACTCTCTATGTTATTTGCTATTATTAAATATTAAACATGAAGAAAAGGCGAAGATACCAAAATAAGAAAGAGTACAGATGGATGTGTCCAAGACAAGAATATATAGTTAAAGTGGAGTTTTGATTTGATATTTGATGGGGCTTCCCTTTTTTTTTGTTCGCAGAGTGTTTGTTTCTGTATCACAGAATTCTTTTGAACCGAACCAAATCGATTTTTTGTTCAAATCAACATTCTCTTCGTTTAATTTTTGTGTTACTAATTACAATCCAGTTGGCAAAAATAAATAAACTAAAATCCTATACTATAGTTGAGCCCTAACCGTGAATCTGACAAAGGTCAATTCAGTTCAGTACATGGTTCGACTAAGAAATTTAAAAGTCACTGACCCAAGTTTCCTATCTTCCCCAAACTTCCTGTCTGATTATTGTCTCTCGACATCGTTGTCATTATCTCAATGGAGTTTTCTCAAAATTGTTAGCGATTTGAATCCATTCTCAAATTAAAAGAGTTCAAAATTGTCTCTCGACCTCGTTGCAATTATCACACTTGTTAGTAATTACCCCAATCCTGTAGGAACTACATGAGATGAGATAATAGACAGAATCTCAAATTCGTATTACATAAATATACTTCACTTACTGTGCAAATAAGCATTGTATGAGGTCACAAATATCATAGAAACACACAACTACGTCACAGCTATATTACCTTCTCATTTCTTTCGTCTAAATTCGTTTTCCACTTGATCCTTCTTCTTTCTTCTACGACACCTTATTTTCTTTCAACTCTATATAGGGCCTAGGAAGATACTGATCAGAGATACTAATATACCAACTCAGTAAGATGTACATTATTGGGTCTAGTTATAGTCTCAGCTCGTTTGAGGAGCCCAATCCAGCCCACGAAAACTTATGAGTTGTATTGTTCGGACACGAGGTAGTTGCTGACAGCCTGACATGGTCCCGTTTGCTCAAGAACTGAACAAAAATAAAAAGGATAACTTTGTAACTGATGACTTCGGACATACATTTGGACATATATATTCTTAAAATCAAGATTTTGTTTGTTTGTTTTTAACACATCTTTTTCAAATCAAGATATACACATTGATATTGTACAAGTTTGTTTTTTTTTGTTTCTAAATATTATAATTAGTCGATTTCTTGTGCGATGCCTTTATACCATTTTGGTATGTACTACTTGGACCTAGGTTTGGGTGTATCGGTCGAATAAACCAAGAAAACAATTTATTTATAGAGAGTCACTCCAAGAAGAATATAAAATGTCTTGGCACCCTTCAATTTCTTGAATTCCATTCCGAGGCAAAGTTTTCACCACCACTGGCTCCTAAGCCAAGCTTTCCATTGAGTATACACTACAGTTACCCCCAGAGTCGTGTTTACTAGTTCAAGCAAGGAGGCCACTGGAAGATATTGTTATAATGAGTTGAAAATTATTTGAAAAAGTTTAAATATTTTCTCCGACTGATGATTGTTCACACCAATCAAATAAAGTGATATATCAACGTATATGATGAATGATGATTATTCAAACAGGAGTTAGTACTTTGAAATTAAAAACAGAGAAAAAGATTTTTCACGTGAGTCACGTTGCGGAGAGGTATCAGCTTCCGTGATATTGATGAAATATGGATCCCACAAATTTCAACTGTCTGGATTCACCGACGGTACGAGGATAATTTTATTGACACCGTCCGATGTTTCCAAGCTGTCATCGTATTTTTAAAACATACTACTATATAATAAACAATAGATTTTCTAATTTGAGATGATTGTGCCGACACACTTTTGGTGTCATGTGTCTCTCTTATTACTTCAAGATTTGTACGAATATAACTATGTTAGTGAAAGGTTTTGATTCAAACCACGTTTTTCATGTAACAGAATCTCAAACAAATATTTAAAGCTAGATAAGCTTAAATTAATTTATTTAATTATTGTTATGTTGTCAAAAACTGGTTAATGGATGAGAGGAATGGACGAGTGGACAAGCGCTTACGTAACTTAAACGTAGTTACTAATACTACTTAAATGTGTTAATTGTGTTAGTTTTGTTTTTCATTCTCTTCCTAATAATTTTGAGTGATCCAGATCAATCTTAGGTTAAGTATATTACATTCCATCATATACTCAGCCTGCTTGAAACCCACCTTAACTTTCTAACAAGCAAGTGCATTTAATTATTTCAACTGAAATATGAACTCATGAATAAGTAGATTTACACCACACTTCAAAGTTCTGCCTTTTTTTTTTTGAGAAACACTTCAAAGTTCTGATGCGTCAATATGAGATCAGATTTGGATTATATGCGAAGAGGCAAAACGAACTCACAACATTCTCAAATAATATATCTACAAAACTAAAAAGTAGCGTGAGGTTTTGTTAATATAACTCGGATATTATGATTGTAGCGTACTAATCTGGAGCCACATTATCCCACCGTATGATGAATTTCCAACTGATAAAACCAATACTAATTAGTTTAATGAACACAGGATTCATCTTTTAGGTTAAGGGAAACATATACTTTTTGAACATACATAGAATCTAAATTGATTTGCATGATATTTAGTATTCGATATGTGTAGCAAATTAATGAATCATATTTAGTAATATACATCTTCTTGTGTCAACTTTGAACTGGTTGGAATACATAATAAAGATATCAATTTCACCCGGACGAACTAGCTCAATTGGTAACACTTCAGGCAATTGTCTGAGAGGTCACGAGTTCGAATTCAAATCTCGGACGGGGAAGAGTGTCCAGGGCTGTAAAAGGTACAGACACAAACTGGCTCTGGGTCTAGGGAGACTAAGGACGAAAATCCGAACCATCCTGATTAAAAGAAAAAAATTATCAAAAAGAAAGATAATGCTACTATGCGATATGATGATGTGGTATCGCAACAAACAAATGTGGGGCTAAGATTTACATTATTGAATTTAACAGACAGATCTTGATAAATATATAGAGGGAGAGGGAGTAATCTAATTACTACTTAGGGAAAGAAACAGAGAGCATCAAAGCATCGTCATAGTTCCATTAGGGGAAGGTTTGGCTTTTTCTCCCACTTGTATTATTCCTCTTTCACGCTTTGGCTCTCCTTTTACCCACACCCTATCTTTTTTCCTTTACTCTTATTTAGAAATATGCGTTTTTTCTTTTACTTTAACCCTTAATATATTGTTACAAATAACAAATCTTTGTCAATATAGACAATTGTCTTCTTAGTCGTTCAAAAAAAAAAGACAATATCTTGCTTTCTCTCATCTTCTATTTTTCTTTAACTTGGACTTGTTTTTGTAATTAAATCTAAAGATATCTCGAACTGTAGAAAAATACATACCAATCGTTAAGAGGTGTATCCTATGCATAAACTTTTTATACGGGTATTCAAGGACCGAAAGTAAAGATTCCAAAATTTCAAACTCGTTTCTTTATCATTAGAGCATAATGTTTCAGACAACTTAGACTTGTGTTCAAACAAAACATATAGATAATTTTGAAAACGAGTAAAATGTTAATTTAAAAAAAAAAAAATAAAGTACGCAGATGTATGTAGGCTACATACCTTTATATTATTAGTAAATTATATATCATATATTTTATCAATAATTTATCAATATATATATTGATAAAATATATGATATATAATTTAGGAATAATATAAAGATATTTTTTAATATATAGATATGTAGCCTACATACATCTGCATACTTTATTATTATTTTTACAAAAATACTTTTCAACATTTTATTCGCTTTCAATATTATTTACTAAGTAATTGAAAAAAATAGTCGATAAATTGTGATGGATAACCAAATCTCTCTTTCCCATACTCTTGGGTGGGGGTACTTTTGGTAAATCTTTTTATATTTTCCTAGTCACATTATTTACGTTTCCTATTTTCTCGTACCAACCTCTTTCACGGATTTATCCATCTTTGTTTTTTTTATCTCAATATATTTTCTCGCAAATACGATGGCATTTTGTAAAGATACGTCAAAAATTGTTAGGAGATCACATGAATAATATCTTTTTGTCACGAAATAGTTTAAGCTTTTAGCTAACAGCAGTGGTTAATTTGTTTTCTTTTTCTGGAAAATGAATTAGTGACAATATTGGTTCGGAGAAGAAGGGGTAATAATAAATTTGGAGTGGTTGGAATAGAAGAAACGAAATAGTACAAGAAATTAAATAAGATACTCCTATCTACATCACCCTGCTTTTTTCACCCATAATTGTTTTCAGTAAAACTGTGAACTTCTGAATTTAATTCCCTTTATGTATAAAGATACTAGTGGTGTCAATACTCAGGAGACCAAAACTAGAAAACAGAATACTACACTTGTATTGGGAAATAATCATATTTTCAAAACTGATTCAACCACTTATATATACTTCTTTCGTTGATAAAACTTATGTACCTCTCTAATAATGAATGGAGTCTAGCACATATATATTCCTATTAAATAATTTTGTGATTTTCATTGATATGGATTCTTATTAAATATTCATTTATTTATTTAGGTCGATCCCCTCTTATTGCCTTTGATAGTTCTCTTCTCATTTGAGTACTCTCTCTTATTGCTCCCAAGTTTCTTTTTTCTTGTTTCCTCTTTTATTACAAGAGATATGTGGAATCTTAACGACTCACCTGATCATCATGAAAAATCCGACGGTAGAGGGAACCGGGCTGGAGACGTGCCAATATCGATGAGCTCATCGGCCACGTGGCTCTTGTCTGCACCTCCGGTGACCCGGCAATTTTTTCCATGTCAAAGCATGGAACATGAGGCTGGAGGAATATCTGGGTCCAGTTTCAGTAAAAGCCAATGTGTTGTTAGGTCCGATCCTAGCGGGTCGGGTCAAACTGAAAATCCAGAGCCGGAGGTAACACCACCGGTAAAGAAGAGCCGACGTGGTCCTCGCTCACGGAGCTCTCAGTATAGAGGAGTTACCTTTTACCGACGAACCGGAAGATGGGAGTCACATATCTGGTAAATTAATTCTCTTTAAAATAATGTATACTATATGCCTATATGCTAAATCCATCAAATACATGTTTCATTTTATTTGAGTCAACACCTATTTATAAAATGTTTCGGAATATTATGCAGGGACTGTGGGAAACAAGTGTACTTAGGTATGATTCATATGTATTGTTGTTCAAACACAAACCAAATATCCTATTGAAACTAAGCTGTGTTGTGTCTGACCATTTTTATTCGATTTTATTTTATCTTCTTATATTACTTTTCTTTTTGTTACATATATGCAGGTGGATTCGACACCGCACATGCCGCTGCTCGGTATATTTTACTTACTCAAACATGATCAACTAGAAAGAACCTAATATTCAGCATTAGTATATAGTTATTTTAGAATCTGTTGTTATATACATTAATTAATATGGGTGAATAACTACTATTCGTGATAGTGCCTATGATCGAGCCGCAGTGAAGTTTAGAGGTGTAGATGCAGATATCAATTTCGACATTGAAGACTACGTGGAAGATTTGAAAAAGGTAAAAGATTATTTATTATTTGGAGGTTCAAGAAATTGAATTAATTTATTACTCGAACATAAAACAAATTAATATTAATTGCAGATGAGCAGTCTGACAAAGGAAGAGTTCATGCATGTAATTAGAAGGCAAAGCACTGGGTTTCCAAGAGGCAGCTCTAAATATAGAGGAGTCACTTTGCATAAATGTGGAAGATGGGAAGCTCGATTGGGTCAATTTCTCAACAAAAAGTACAATTACAATTACTTTTCTAAAGCTGTGGCAACAATAAAATTTGAAATGTTTGTTTTTCTTGTGGATATTTAAAATTTGGTACTGTGTTGTTTGCTTTTTATTTATTTTCAGGTACGTTTATTTGGGTCTGTTTGATACCGAGATGGAAGCTGCAAGGTACTGTTTTATTATTGTTCAATGTTTCATATTCACGTTTCAAATAATAATTTCTTCTATGTGATTTTTGAACTTCATGATAGAGCATACGATAAAGCGGCAATAAAGTCTAATGGAAAAGATGCTGTTACCAACTTTGACCCTACATTATACGATGAGAAAAACAGCCCAGGTAAATTTTATATTTTACGTTTACCGCCTAAAGAATTACTGATTACATATACAGTTTTTTTAATAAATGTAAATTTATTAGATTCAAAGCGTTCTTACAACGAATGCAGCTTAGAATCAATAGTCTATTAGCTAAAAACTAAGTAGAAACTGAAGTAAGCTATACATATACAAATTTTCACTCCAGTCACCTGTTTTTCTTTTTTAACTCACGGTAACAATCAGCAGAGAAGCAGTGGAGTGATCATAACCTCGATCTAAGTCTAGGTGAATCAAACTCGGAAGAGTTTGGAACCAAATCTGAGGTAAACTCATGTTCGTGTGTTATATAACATATGTATTTGTTTGATCAGAAAAACAAAATAAATTGTGATAATGGTTTAAATGAATAATGTTCAAAGACTGGGAGCATGAGGAATAGGAGTAGAGATGAGGAAACACAGTTAGGGAGCCATCTCTCGCTAGCGATGACGACCGTAGGATCGGAAAAGCGAGTGGAAGTGACAGCATCATCAGGATTCTCTCCTCGCTTTCCTCCTTGGAACCACCACACTCCTCGCACTTTCCACTTCTTTCGTCCCTGATTCACCATCATCATCACAGTCATCATCTGAGTTAGTTGTGAGTATATGTTTTGGAGAAACTGGGCTATCCCAGGGCCTATTTTGGGCTGTGTGGTGTATATATATTACATATATATGTTCTTGAGCCCATTTAAGACTTTTCTTTTGGTCATTTATTCATACAGCAAATATTCTTGACTACATATAGGCCTGGACAAAAAAAACCAAAATCGAAAAACCGAACCGGAATCGAACCGCAATATCCGAAACCGAAACCGGATCAATATTCTTAAATATCCGAATGGTTCCTATATTTCTATACCCGAAAAACCGAACCCGAACTGGAACCGAACCGTGAACCGAACGGGTACCCGAATATCAAAAAAACAAGTTAATTCTTTTTTTTAAAAAATAAGATAAAATGACATCAAGCCCATTGGCACTCATGTTAGATACAAAGATTAAGTACATTTTACCAGCAGACCACATTATGTTTTATTTATTCTGTTATATTATAAATGTATATGGTATATCTATATTAAAATATGATAAATATTTATAAAATTAACACTTTATTGATTCAAACTCTTGTTGGAATGACGAATATGTAAGCATGTAAACACTAGAACATTTAAATTAACATATGAACTAATATATTCTGTATATACATATTTGATTTATATATTAAATGGGTATCCAGAACCGAACCAAAACTGAACTGAAACCGAACCGAAGCTGAACCGAAGCCGAACCGAAATCTCATAAGTATCTATTGGATATAAAAATGATTTATCCAATATACACGGAATCGAATGGTTTATATCCGGAACCGAACCGAATATCCCAATGCCCATACCTAACTACATAGTACCCCTTACATACATAACGGAGACTTCTGTTTCATCATTTACCATCATATAACAAATGGTCTTAGGTGTTTCAAAAAAAAAAAAAAAAAAAAACAAATGGTCTTAGGTTTCGAGTCTGAATCTACAGAATACCATGGACACAACGTCACAACCCAACCCAAATTAGAAAATATTAGACCTAAAAGGGCTTTAAATAAAATTTTATATCCAAATAAATTTATGTTTTCTGAGTTAAGTTGGCTTGGGTTGTGCTGGCTTGATGAGATGGGCCACCGCAATATCGGGACCAATTCCTTTTTTGGGGGGTCAAACATTGATAATGAGATCGACCAAACGTTTTTGTTCAAAATGCTTATCAAACAAAATAGCATTGATTTAAAAATTTAGAGCTAATGGAGAAAATATGTTTTATAATTATGAAATCACTTGATTAATGTGTGTTGCACTATAATTTAATAGTTGTGTGATAATCTGACATGCATGTGTATTGCACTATAGTATATATTATACTAGTATCACTATCAAGTTGATAAACTAATTAGGTTATGAATGGGAGGGGCAGGACAAAGGCAAATCATGCAGTTCTCCTGCCTTATTTTTACCATTCACCATTTTCTGTTTGTAAAAGTAGTTCAAGCGGGAGATCTGTATGCAGTTCAATTTTTTTTGTCTTTTAGTAGAAAAAGCAGGCAGATCTCATCCGCTAACATTTGGTGGTGTTGATCTGCCTTTTTTTTTTCCTTTTACTAATAAATAGTGTTATTACAAACACTTAACTTTAAAATATATTTATTTGATTTTATAAATAATGTACAATTATTAACTCAAACTATATAGTTCACATTAATATTATTTGTGTCATTTTAAAGTTATAAGCATGATATATAATCGTTAAAAAACACAATATTTTCCACGAAAAATATAAATATTTCTACATAAGTATCAGCAAAAAAATAATTATTTTATATTTTAAAATAATTAATAAATAGAAGAAGTATAAGCATCTAATAAAATTTTTACAGACATTTCGGCTGAACATACAACATCTGAAATATTTTTTTTTAATATTTGGTGTAATTTTTATTATTTTAATATATGATATATAATGTGAACATATTTTTCATTTATAATTTATAATAAATTATTTAATCTGTTTTATCTCCATTTTTATATATAAATATTAACAAAGAATTAAATATTAAGATGTCTGTTTTTCAAAAATAATTTTGATCAACTAAAACGCTACAAGCATCTTATGAAAAATCCAATAAACATTTAGGCTGATCCTACAACATTTAAATATTTATATTGATATTTGGTATAATTTTATTCTTTTAATATATGATCTATAGTTTTGAATTTATTTTGTCACTAGGTGATTTTCCCGTGCTCATGCACGGGCACAAATATTTATAAAATATATATATTATAATAGTTAATTGATATTTACATTAAATTTTATATTAATTTATAGTTTGTATGTATAATTTATATTAATAATATTATATTATTTTAGTTATATATAATTTTAGATATATTATATTTAGTCAGTTTTATTAATTTGGATACATATATTGGATTCTATCTATTTCTTTGAATTCAACTATAATCTTTTTTATTCTAAATATCTTAAATTTTTGATTAATTATTTTATTTACATTTATATTGGTTGTTATCGTAGAAATATAACTATATCTTAGTAAGATTATGCATTTTAAGATTTTTTGTGCTTAGAACGTAAACAAAAAAAAAAGTGTCTGATTCTATATTACATACATAAGTAAAAATAAATTTTTGGAAGCTTATGAACACATATCAATATTTATAATAATTAAAATATTTTATAAATTCTAAGTAAATTATGTTTTAGATTGATTGGATGGTAAACTCAAATTTATTTTACATAATTTTAAAAATAAGGAATTCTGATTTGCTAAGTATTTTGATTATGGTTATATTAAATTCCACGAACATAAAAACAGAAAATTAAACATCAAGAGAGTTATTAAGAAAGCAGATAATTTTAACTATTAAAATAAAATATATCTATTTGATCAAAACATGTTTATTATTAAATTTATTTTTAGTTTTGCTTTTAATACCTCTTAAAATATGCAGTAAAAATGTGATTATTTTTGAGAAATTATATTATATAAGTAAAATATAATTTATATTTTTGCTGTAATTGTAGATATTATAATCAAATAAATATACTAAAAAAATATTTCAATAATACTAATTATAATTTTTTTTGTCAATTAAACATATATTATTTTTATGTTACTTAATTATTTTATGTAATCATCTAATAAGATAGATAGATATATACAAAAATAATTACTTTGAAAATATATATTTTATTGTTTAAATTTTTTTCTTAAAGAAAAAATATTTCTTTTTCTAATATCAAGATTATTTGTATGAACTTTTTTTATGAAAACACATTATATACAAATATTTTTTTATCTAAGAAGATATAGATATAAAGTATTTTATTACTTAAAAAGTATAATTTATGTTCTTTAAAAATATATTTAAGTTAAATATTACTATTTTGTAAACTTTTCTTTTTTTATGAAACCATATTATATATATACTTATTTTTTTCGTTGTTAAATAGTTTTGTAAATTTTATAAATATTTCCTTTTAATTTTATATTGTTATTTGGAAGATTTTTTAAAGGAAATAATAATATTTAAATATATTTTTAATTCATTAGGGGTATCATAGTAATCAACCAGCGTTAGAGTTTACGTGAGCGCGACACCTAAGAAAGTGACTTCTCAAATAATATTATAGAGATTCATAATTTATATATAATTGTTTGATCTGCATCTCTCCTTCTTAATCCGCTTGATCTGCACTTGTTCTGCTTTATCTGCACTTGTTCTGCTTTATCTGCACTTGTTCTGCTTGATCTGCATGAAACACTTGATCTGCACCGCTTGATCTGCTTTTACCATTCGAAGCCTAAAGAAAAAGTGATGCGAAATATGAACCAATCACATAGGTTTCATATTCATTTACCTACCGGTCGTAAAGTTTATTGTCATTATACAGATGCAAAAATCATAAAACGCCAAAACAATAATAATAATTAAAAGCAACTCTGGGCCACACCAAGTCAGAAAGCACCTATTAAAGTAAGACCATTATTATGGTTTTAGTCTTTTTTTTTTTTTAATTATTTACAACAGACAAGTAATGATCACCATAGGAATTAGTAGTAAAGAAACTGAACCTCACGTAACCATTAACTACCAATCTCAAAACAGATGGAAGAAGATTTGGTGGTGATCTCAAGGAGCATAGTAATCCCCAAAAACGCCAAGAAATCAAGTTCCTTGAAGAAGAAGATTCATCTGTTTCCATGGGATCTCTCTCGTCTTCGCTTTGGTTATCTTCAAAGAGGTCTTCTTTTCCCCAAACCTGATCTCAAAATAAACTTACTACTCTCAAAGTTACAAACTTCACTCTCTGTTACACTCGACCGTTTCTACCCTTTAGCTGGTCGTCTCGTAAAAGTAGCCAACAACGAAGACGACACCGTCTCTTTTTACATCAACCCCGATGGTTCAGGTGTGGAGTTTATTCACGCCGTGTCTAGAAAAACAAAGGTCAGTGATATCCTTAGACTATCCTTTTCTTCTGTCCCAAGTTCTTTCAGCTCCTTCTTCCCCGCCACTGGAATCAAGAACTGTAACGGTGTTTCAAGATCTTTACTTATGGTTCAAGTTACTGAGATGAAAGATGGGATCTTCATCGGGTTTGGTTACAACTCTACCGTAGCTGATGGAGAATCAATCTGGAAGTTTTTCAACGCGTGGTCGGAGATCTGCTCAAAGGGTTTAGGCTCTGAAGCTTTACAGAGTCGTCTTCAGCTTAAAGGTTGGTTCTTTGATGAGATTGATTACCCGATCCGGATCACAGACCCTGAGGGAAAAACAGCTAGCAACGGAGCATCAACTAGTTTATTACAAGAGTTGATGTTTCATGTCACAAAGGAGAATAGTTTGAAACTTGAAGCTAAAGTCAACGATGAGAGAGTGTCTTCTTTTGAAGCGGTGTTAGGACATATATGGTGTTTATTGGCTAAGCATAGTGGGATGAGTCGTGAGGAAGAGACTCATTGTAGGTTGCCTATAAACATGAGGGGAAGGTTAAACCCTCCGCTTGAAGAAGAGTGTTTTGGGAATGTGAGTCAGACAGGGATAGCTAAAGTCACAGTTGGTGAGCTATTGGATAATGGATTAAGTTGGGCGGCTGGGAAGATAAACGAAATGGAGCGGTCACAAACGTTTGAAAACGCTAAAGCGGTTGCGGAGAAATGGGTGAGAGATGTGAGGATTCCGGTTTCTGTTGGTAGTAAAGATTTGGTTGTGACGAGCTCTCACCGATTTGATGTGTATGGAAATGATTTCGGTTGGGGTAAACCGATAGCTGCAAGAGCTGGACCGCCGTATGTGAACGGGAGGCTGGTTGTGTTCCAAGGAGTTGAAGAAGGGAGTCTTGATTTTCAGATTTGCTTATTGCCTCAAGTAGTGGAGAAACTATCAGAAGATGTTGATTTTAAAGAGTTTGTGAGCATTGTACTATGATTATGATGATTTGGTTCAAGAATGTGCGTCGAATTGATATGTGTGTTTCTTCGCCTGTATTACATAAATTACTAAACTTATCTCCAATATATTTTGTTTTATTTTTCTCTAAAATAGAGAAATTTTTATAATAGGAGCTTATTAGCACTGGATGCCGAGATGGAAGGCCTACTGTGGGTAGTCTATGTATGAGAGATTTGAGGATGATTTTGATACAAATTCGGATCTAGTGGACATGTCTACTAAACCGGAGGTCTGGCCGGCTTTCGCGACAGAGATGGAGATGTTTCAGCGACAACATGATGACTTCGAGGATGTGAGTATGTCTCATATTTCACGGAGTAAAAATGGACGAGCGGATGCACTAGCTAAAAAAAAAGGAATAGAGGCTATTTATTTTTCCATATAAATCAGACCCGGCCAGACGGAGTTTCTCCTCGAAGAATTTAATAAAACACCATATACCATAAAAATCAATGAACTAAACCTCTTGAAATCTCCAATTTCTTAAAGAAACTTGGATAACTAAGGTATTAGAGTTCTTTTATATTATTTGTATATATCAGTGCTAGATTCAACTATGCATAAATACAAAATTTCCATATTTTTTTCTATTTTATTTTGAAATATGTGGGTTAACCCCTACAAAAAGATTGAGTTTTTCCAATAAATGCTATTTGTACTTAAGTTTAGCCTGTTTAATGTTATTTAAAATATCTAACCACATTAAAAATTACTAATGTATGCTTTGATTGTCATGGTACATGATCATTAGTTATAATTTTTCGACGAGTAATTTAATAAAAATTTATATACAATATAAATCGAAGAATTAAACCCTATGAAGTCTCTATATTCTAGAAAAATTTGGACAATAAAGGTGTCAAACAGCTTTGATATTTATCCTATATCAGTGCTGGATGCATCTATGCACTAAAATAAAAATATCACATTTTCTAATTTATCTTGAATTATGTGGATTAACCCTAACAAAAGATCGAGTTTTTCCGATATATGCTATATATTGAAATTTTAAGCTCTTTCTTTCTGAATAAAAAATAACTAATCACATTATTAGTCTATATTAATGTATGTTAAACTTATTTTCATGGTACAAAAGCATCGTTTCTAATATTTTAACGAGTAATTTAATAAAATATCATATTCCATCTAATTCTCTGGACTAACCCTATAAAATCTGTATTTTCTGAAAAAAACGGAGACAAATAAAGTTCCAGACCTCATTAATATTCATCACATATCAGTGCATTATGAATTTATGCATTAAAACAATATACCATATTTTCAAGTTTATCTTACGAAAATATCAAATTTATTTTCCAATAAATACTATATATACTAAAGTTTAGCCTCATTAAAGTTGTTTTAAAAATATCTAGCCACACTATCAATGTATATGTACGCTAAACATATTTTCATGTTACATGGTTATCATTTCTAACTTTCCAATAAATAATTTATTTAAACTTCATATACAAGTTAATTAGTGTACTAATCCCTATAAAATCTCTATTTTCAAGAGAATGAGAACACGTAAGGTCTCAAACCTCTTTAATAATAATAATATGCCAGTTCATGATGGAAATATGCATTAAAACAAAATTACCAAATTTTCTATTTTTTTTTTGAAATATGTGGATTAACCCCAACGGAAAAATTGAATTTTCCAAGAAATGTTCTCTATAAGTATTAGACACTTTAATGTTGTTTACAAATACCAAACCACATTCTCAATGTATATTAATGTAGGCTAAACATATTTTCATGGTACATAGTCATCATTTCTAACTTTCCAACCAGTAATTTATTTAAACTTCATAAACAATCTAATTAGTGTATTAACCCCTATAAAATCTCTATTTTTAGAGAAATGGGAACACATATGGTCCAAAACCTCTTTAATATTTATACTATCACAATTCATGATGCAAATATGAATTAAAACAAAATTACCAAATTTTCTATTTTTTTTGAAATATGTGGGTTAACCTTTATGAAATTTGATTTTTCCGATAAATGCTATTTATAATTTTTAGACACTTTAGTGTTGTTTAAAAATACCAAACCACACTCTCAATGTATATCAGTGTGGGCTAAACATATTTTCATGGTACATAGTCATCATTTCTAACTTTCCAACCCTTAATTTATTTAAACTTCATATATGCTCTAATTAGTGTACTAAGCCTTATAAATTTTCTATTTTCTAGAGAAATGGGAACACATAAGGTCTCAAACCTCTTTAATATTCATACTATGTCACTGAATGAAGAAATATGCATTAAAAAAATTACACAATTTTCTATTACTTTTGAAATATGTGGATTAACCCCTACGAAAATTATTGACTTTTCTGATAAATGCTATCTATACTTTTTAGATACTTTAGCGTTGTTTAAAAATACCAAACTACACTCTCAATGTAAATTAATGTAGGCTAAACATATTTTCATGGTAAATGGTAATCATTTTTAACTTTCCAACGAGTAATTTATTTAAACTTCATATACGATCTATTTAATGTACTAACCCATATAAAATCTCTATTTTCTTGAGAAATGGGAACACATAAGGTCTCAAACCTCTTTAATCTTCATACTATGTCAGATAATGATGAAAATATGCATTAAAACAAAATTATCAAATTTTCTATTTTTTTCTTGTAGTATGTGGATTAACCCCAAATAAAATATTGAATTTTCTGTTATATTTAGCTATAATATTTAGACACTTTAGTGTTATTTAAAAATAACAAACTACACTATCAATGTATATTAGTATAGGCTAAAATTTATTTCATGGTACATGGTCATCATTTCTAACTTTCCAACGAGTAAATTATTAAGCTTCATATACGATCTAACAAGTGTACTAATCCCAATAAAATCTCTATTTTCTAGAGGAATGAGAACACATAAAGTCTCAAACCTCTTTAATATTCATACTATGTCAGTACATGACTCAAAAATGCGTTAAAACAAAATTTCCATATTTTCTAATTTTTCTTGAAATGTGTGGGTTAACCCCTACGAAAATATAGAATTTTCTGTTAAATTTTATCTATAAATTTTAGACAATATAGTATTTTTTAAAAATACCAACTACACTGTAAATGTATATAAATGTAGGCTAAACATATTTTCATGGTACATGGTCATCATTTCTGACTTTCCAACGAGTAATTTATTTAAACTTCATATACGATCTAATTAGTGTAAAATATCTATTTTCATTGGAAATGGGAACACATAAGGTCTCAAACCTCTTTAATCTTCATACTATGTCAGAGAATAATGCAAATATGCATTAAAATATTTTTTGTTTAAATTTTTCTTGAAATATGTGGGTTAACCCCTACGAAAAATATTGAATTTTCTGATAAATGCTATCTATAATTTTAGACACTTTAGTATTGTTTAAAAATACCTAACCACGCTCTCAATGAATATTAATTTAGAATTAACATATTTTAATGTTCAAGGTCATCATTTCTAACTTTTTAATGAGTAAATTAGTTAAGCTTCATATACGATCTAATAAATGTACTAATCCCTATAAAATCTCTATTTTCTAGAGAAATGTGAAAACATAAGGTCTCAAAACTCTTTAATATTCATACTATCACAGTTCATGATGCAAATATGCATTAAAAATAAATTACCAAATTTTCTAATTTTTCTTGAAATATGTGGGTTAACCCCTACGAAAATATTAAAATTTATGATAAATGCTATCTATAATTTTTAGACACTTTAGTGTTGTTTATAAATACCAAACTACACTCTCAATGTATGTTAATATAGTTTAAACGAATTTTTATGGTACATGGTCAACATTTCTAACTTTCCAACAAGTAATTTATTTAAGCTTCATATACGATCTAATTAGTGTACTAATCATCATAAAATCTCTATTTTCTAGAAAATGAGAACACATAATGTGTCAAACCTCTTATATACTCAAGAAATCACAGTTCATGATGCAAATATGCATTAAAACAAAATTATCAAATTTTCTAATTTTTCTTGAAATATGTGGGTTAACCCCTATGAGAAATTGAATGCTAGACATATTTTCATGGTACATGGTCATCATTTCTAATTTCTCAACAAGTAATTTATTTAAACTTCATATACGATCTAATTAGTGTACTAACCCCTATGAAACTCCATTTTCTTGAGAAATGAGAACACATAAGGTCTCAAATCTCTTTAATCTTAATACTATGTCAGAGAATGATGAAAATATGCATTAAAACAAAATTTCCCAAATTTCTAATTTTTCTTGAAATATGTGGGTTAACCCCTACAAAAATATTGAATTTTCTGATATATGCTATTTATAATTTTTAGATACTTTAGTGTTTTTAAAAAAAAACTAATCACGCTCTCAATGAATATTAATTTAGGCTTAACATAGTTTCATGTTCAAGGTCATCATTTCTAACTTTTCAATGAGTAAATTATTTAAACTTCATATACGATCTAATTAGCTTACTAATCCCTACGTAAAAATTGAATTTTCCAAGAAATTCTCTCTATTTGTTTTAATGTTGTTTAAAAATACCAAACCATACTCTCAATGTATATAATGAAGGCTAAACATAATTTCAGGGTACATGGTCATCATTTCTAGCTTTCCAACCTTTAATTTATTTAAACTTCATATATGATCTAATTAGTGTACTAATTCCTATAAAATCTCTATATTTTAGAGAAATAGAACACATAATGTCCCAAACCTCTTTAATATTTATACTATTTCAGTACATGACGCAAAAATGCGTTAAAACAAAATTTCCATATTTTCTAATTTTTCTTGAAATGTGTGGGTTAAACCCCCTACGAAAATATTGAATTTTCTGTTAAATTTTATCTTTAATTTTTAGACAATATAGTATTTTTTAAAAATACCAAACTACACTGTAAATGTATATTAATGTATGCTAGACATATTTTCATGGTACATGGTCATCATTTCTAAATTTCCAACGAGTAATCTATTTAAACTTCATATACGATCTAATTAGTGTAATAACCCCTATGAAATCTCCATTTTTTTGAGA